CTAACCTACCTCACAGGGCTATTGTGTTGATTATTATTTGATTTCTTGCCCACCCTTCACCTTAAGGTTTCAGGGCATGTTACAGCCGTATAAAACCCGATATTAAAGCAGTTTTTTAAAAAAAGCACATTAGTTAGAGGAATAGGTTGGATCCTATTGTAAAGTTGAAAGCGGAAGAAGGGGGTGGGTAATTTACACAACCTTGAGCTCCTTCGTGGAAAAGCAAAATGCAAATATATGTCATTCACACTGGTCCCCTTGCTTTACCGCAACATTTCGAAGTCCTTCAAGGAAAAAAAGAAAAAGAAAAGGGCCGACTCTGATAAGGAAAAATAAGTGCGCGTACACACACACACACACACACACACACACACACTTACTTAAGTGTGTGCGGTTTCACTGCTTGGGTGTCTGAACTGCCGACTCCCAGCCTAGCTTCCCTCTCAGGGCTGTTGTGAAGGGGGAAGAGGAAGACAATGTATGCAGCCTGGAGCTCCTGGGAGTAAAATCAAGATACAAATCTACAACCACGAGCACAAGTCACAGCTCTCAGCAAAACACGTACACAAAACTTTTATGAGAAATAAAAAAGGATCATTGAGTTAATGCATTGCCTATAGGAATTTTAGCTTGCTGCAGCCCGAACGCGTTTGCTGATTCCTTTTGCATTTTCTGTTTTGTTTATGGTTGCTGCATATTCATAAATAACAGCCCAGTGATGACAAACCAATCAACACCAGGGGTGTTGCAATAGCATCTTTTTTTTCTAAGTAGGAAGGAAGCTTTATTTATTTCAAGTGAGTTACTTCTGAGTAACACATACCCAAGTCAGCCAAGTTGCCTTTTATTCTGTAAAGGCAGTGCTCTTGGAGTGAATTAAATCATTTGAACGTAGAGGAAAGTGCTTAACCATTTCCCAGGATCCACCTCTGTCTAGCTTCAGGCTAGTAGCAGCCACCACTCTTGCTGGTATGGGGGGGCATCCCAAGACCCTGGTGGGAGTGGTCAGCCTTTTTTGCTTTGATTGTTTCGCAACAATGATTAAGTGTCCTTAGCAATGGTGCCTCCACATTTGGTGTGCTAACTTTTTTCAGAAATGTCTGATTGACTAAAACAAACAAACAAACAAAATTTAGGAGTCTGAGGTCTCTGCTGGCTAAGTACATGTGAAACCCCTGTACTCCTATCACTGGTCCTGTTCAGGGATGAAGTAGAATCATAGAATTGTAAAGTTGGACGTGACCCCAAGGGTCATCTAGTCCAACCCCCTGCAATGCAGGAATCTCTGCTAAAACAGATGGAAGTGTTCCAATATTCACCTCTCAGTGCGTGTGCCATGATTATTAAAAGCCTAAGAAACAAATGATGCCAAGTTGACTGTAGACGAGAACACTACAAGCACTCTTGTGAAACCACCACAGCCTGGATAAATTGCAGAAAAACAAACATTAAGACTTGCATTTGCTCAAGGTTATTAGGGGGAAAGCTAGAGTTTGGAAACATGCATGCTCATGGTGGGCCAGAGTTGTTTTATCTGGCCCTGACACAAGCAAGCCATTTCATTATACTCTTCCAGTTGCTGCCGGAGGAAATGTTTTTTGTTTCATTTTGAAAGCAACACATTTAAACATAAAGGAAATGTGCAGGTTGTATTCATGTGTTGTTTTTTTACCTAGGCAATTGCAGCCCTTCTTAAATAATAGGCAGCCCTGTTTAGGGAAGTTTTTAATATTTAATGCTGTATTGTTTTTAACACTCGATTGGAAGCCGCCCAGAGTGGCTGGGAAAACACAGCCAGATGGGTGGGGTATAAATATATTATTATTATTATTAATTAATAATTTTTTATTTATACTCCCCCTTCCCGGTTCAGAAAACTAGGCTCAGGGTGGCTAACAACAAATTTAAAACACTTAATTGATGCAACAAAAAACAGCATAAAATACAGTATAAATGATGTTCCAGTAGTCGTTCACATTTACAGTGCAAGACTAAGATGTTAAGGTCCATTGAAAGCACATTGCTCCCCACCCCACTGAATACTGGGAAGTGTAGTTTGCTAAGACTGCTGGGAATTGTGGCTCTGGGAGGGGTAAATTAGGATTCCCAGGATTCTTTGCTGGGGATGCCCTGTGCCTTTAATGTATGTTTCCCACAAACATCTGCTTGGAAACAGGATGCTGGACTAGATGGGCCATGGCCTTATCTGGCAGGCTGGTCTGCTTAGCCAAGAGGGTGGGGAAAGGATGAGAACAATGCTTGTTTGTATAGACTATTAGCCATGAGGACTCGTTAAAATTCGTTCAGGCCTCGTTCTAAAGGAAGGATCTCCAGATGTACAAGGCCTTGCCACGTTGACATTTGGCCAAGATGCTAGCTCAGCACATATTAAGTTAAAAGGTGCCACATTCTGGATAATCATCTTCCCGGCAGGACCGATGGGAGACCTTAAATGCTGCAGGAAGCAGTCTTAAGCCGGCCAGTACATACTGTGTCTATTTGCAGCATGTTCTGTTCTGTGCAGAGATCTTCGGAGGTCATGTCCAAAGGTTTTTTGTTTTGATCTGCCTCTCGATTTAATTCAACCAGACATAGATCCATGATACAAATCCTGCCTTTTGTTCTTACCTTGGTTTATTATATTAAACCCTTCCACAGAACCCATAGTCTCTGAAGTCCCCGTTTTCAACGTTAACAGATCCGAGTGAAAAATGTTTGTAATGTTTCCATTACAAAATAAAAAGCCACCTGGTTGGTTTTTTTTTAAAAGGGCATTTTAGTTAAGAGTAAAGCAGTTTCATAGGCAAGACACTTGAAAATATCCGGTTACTGCCCTATAATTCATATTTCTAATGTTTGATTAGTAGTGTTATTGAGAGAAACTGCATAAACCATCTAGTTCAGGCATAGGCAAACTTGGCCCTCCAGATGTTTTGGGATACAACTCCCATCATCCCTGACTGCTGGTCCTGTTAGCTAGGGATGATGGGAGTTGTAGTCCCAAAACATCTGGAGGGCCAAGTTTGCCTATGCCTGATCTAGTTAAAGGAACTGACGAGTTCACCATAGATTGTCAGGAAGAAAGTTTTAATTGTAGACAGACATACTTGTATGCTAAATACTACTTTGGACATGCCTTTTTTGTTTTTTACTGTAACTCATTTAGTAAAAGAAACAGCCCTCACCTACTAGATAATACAGTTCCTATTCCTCCTGTCTTAGGTCATATGCATACCATACCTTGAAAGCACACGGCTTCCCCAAAAGAATCCTGGGAACTATAGTTTACCCTACACAGAACTAAAATTCCCAACACCCTTAACAAATCAAGAGAGCACAGGATTCTTTGGGGGAAACCATGTGGTTTCAATGTATATAGTGTGGATGTGACCCTGTTGAATGTGATTCTTACCTGCCCCCCTGATCTACTGGGAGGTCATAAAGACATTCTGTGCTGTTTCAGAGGAGTATGTATTTAAAATTTTAGCAACAGAATTACACTACTGATGTTATCTCATTGACTCAGTGCACTGCCATTTTGATTCCTGGCCACAGCTTTGTAACACTATTATTAATTTGGCACTGTCAATATATGTGACCCTTAACAATTTATAATACTCTGTTTCCAGAGCAGTTGCCATGTTAACTTTCTGAAGCAAAAACAGCACTTAAATGATAACAAAATCATATGCATTTGAAGTCTAAAGTTCGCTTTGTCCAGCTGCGGGAAATGAATTTTGTTTGCAGAAATATTATGGTAAGGAGAATGTGGATTGAGAGGTTAGTGTGTGGAACAACTGGACATTTCCCAGGCCTCATGGAGAATGTGCACATAATCCGCCCACAAAGAAGGAATTGTGCACATTTCTCAGACAATATATGTAGTCTCCAACTGGCCTTGGTAAATACACATATATTGACTGAATTTTGTCCATTCTCAGGTCATTATGCATTATGTCCAACAGGCTATGAGAAATCCTGTCAACGTATACACAAGGAGGATGGAAAGAGGGAAAATGTAAGGTGGGGGTTCAACGGCAATAAAATGTGAAAAGTACATTCAATTAACACTTAAATGTATATTAAATATAATGCACTGGGCCAGATGGTGTATCTTGTCTAAGGCCATGCTGTGGGTTCATGGGCGCACTGAAATTTGAACTTAGAACTTTTTGTTCATAAATCACTTCGCTATACTGCTACAGCAATTCTCAAATTACAGTTCATTTAAAGTAGTTGTCAGCTTTCAAGGCATGTAATGATGGAACCTTAGAGAAATAATCACTCTTCAGCTACTTGTAAACAAACTTGTAAAATCATGAAGTGCATGCAACTTCACGGGTGGATTTATTTTGCATTATGATGTATTACAAATGCAGCATTAGTGCTTTACAATCTCTCTGCCAATTAGCTGTATCACCACTTTGAGCTAAGTAACCATCATTCTGGTTTTACAGGGAGGAAATGAGATGGAGGAAGTGATTTGCCCAAGGCCATGGCTGAGTTAGGTTACAAACCAAAGCTTCTCTGCCGCTCAGGCTGATGTCCATGCACTTGCAGCAGATTGAGATTTCCCACTCAAGTCTCGTAAGTAACAAAACTACATATGACAACTGGTCAAAAACCAAGTTTGATATTACTGTTGGGTCCTCTATGCAAATAACATGAACATAAAAAAGAATGTTGCCAAATGCAATTCAGAAATTTCTGCATCAGTCCACTAAGCCTTGAAAGCCAATACACCAAAAAAGTACTCCTGAGGAAGAGGTTTGACTGTAGTAAGTCATAATATGTTAAAATGACGACACTAAAAAGCTGTGAAAATTTATGCTTTGTGGCTAAAATAATGGGCTGTGAAGAGGTACATGGTTTCTTGTGAAAAATGTCCAGAATGGTCAAGGTAAAAATGTCCAGAATTTCAGAGTTATATGTGTATAACGCTTACAGTATTTGTATGAAATGTACCATGTTCTGCTGTACAGCAACACACAACAACTGAGTTGATGCTGGAGACAAGTTTATTAAAGATACTACCAAAATTTTGGCAAACATTCCAAAAAATAAAATAAAATCAGACTTGTAAACATAATGCTTCCCTTTTCAATTGGCAGCACTTTTGAAAGAAATATATTAAGACAAAAGAAAAGACAAGTATAAGTCAATTTTGTGACCAAATAACTTATGTTCCCACATGATAAAGTGACGGTTTAACTTAAATTAAACCAATTAACTGCATGAAATGAAAGTTTGTGCTGTTTGATGATCACAGTATTTTATAGTTAAATACATCTTTGTTATATTCCTGACACACAGGAAGAAAAATCTTTAAATATACATTTCATGTAGGCAATAGCTTCATTGCATATTCTCTTCAAAAATACTTTTATAGCAGTATATAAATAGGTCACCTACATGTTAATTTTATAATTTTGCCCCAAAACTATAGAATATTTTTTTTTGTAAAGTATCAATTTTTCCTGGATAAGAAAGCTGACAAATCGTTGAAATTGTTGAAATGGAAATATTTGTCTTCCAGAACAGATGCAGCAGTTTTATTGGGGAAAAACCCTGCATTAACACTTGTCAGTTGTCAACCTGAACATTTGGCCTATATAGCAGATTTACCCCCCAACTGTGTACGCACACAACCCCCTCCTCTCTCTCTCTCTCTCTCTCTCTCTCTCTCTCATGCACACACGCAGACATACACACACACTTATTTCAGACACAGTAGTGCTTCCCATTTTAATGTACCGGGAAGATGTGTTTATGGAGAAATGGATTAAGTACAATTCAGATACATAAGCAAACAATGTAAGGCAATCATTGCAGTGGGGGTTGAAATCACAGAAATAAGTTACTCTTGTTGATAGGTGTGTGCATGTGGGCATTCACACATACACACCTCTGAACCCTCCAGAAACAATGTTTATTTTATTGTGCAAATTTTTAAACTTTCTACCATTTAAGGCAAATCGTTTTTGCATTAACAAGAAAAAGTCAGGAAGAAAACAGGCTTGTAATTCATCCAAAAGCATCTGCTTCTGCTACAATTTATATATATATATATTTTAAAAATGTGCACAACCTCAGAACTACAGAGACTGGATCCCCAGTACCCAATGGTAAAATGATTTCCATGGATAAACGAGTAAATGTTAAGGATAAAAAGGGACCGGGGGAAAAAGCAGCTTCAACTATGTAGGGAAGCAACATCCTCACCATCAAGAAAAACAGCAACTCGGCCTGCTAATGCTGAAACTCCCGCATTAGAGATTTCACTTTGTTTTTAAACCTTAGAGCAAGTCATATGGAATTTTAAATAAATAATCTTTAGTTTATTCACATCTTCTGGTCCAGAGCCCTAGTGCCATGACTCTGCATGCCGTTGGTCATATTCACCTATAAGTCTCTTAATGTGAGCCAGCTTGTTGTGGAGATATTCACATCTGTACTTTTCTTCATGGTAGTTAGGACTAGACTGCAACAGAAACAAACGTAAAATTCTAACTATATACAGAGTATATATTTAGCATATTTATATCTCATCGTCCTATCTGACACTGAGGGTATATAAACCACAAAACAATGCTAAAAAGTAATTAAATATGCAAGCATGTAAAACCACAGATAAAACAAAACCTAATTTGCCCCCCTCCCCGCCACAAGCATCTCCTGAAACCTACCAATTCAGAAAGAATTGGAACCATCCCAAAGTTGGGCTCTTAAACCCATCTCAGATACACAGTTCACGAGGACACCATGGTCGTTGGCACTGATGCCGAGAGGTCCTGCACAATAATCAGGGACACTTACGCAATTATACAGTGTAATTCACTGTATTCTGTTCTCTGCCTATCAAGCAACTTGTGTGTTTTGCTTAAGGCTGGTGACAGATCTGGCAGCGACCACATGTTTTAAAAAATGAGGGTACTTCCTTCTCAGAGAATCCATGGTGTAACCTGAGACAACTCTTGACATACACAGTATTCAAAAGGCATATCTAACTAATGCTACATAGGAACAAGCAATGTTCCAATACTAACGTGGCCTTGCAGTTACAGTGGAGGTTGGCTGCATATCGTACTGCAGTAGAAAGGACAGGTGCCATTTTGTTTCAAAACGGGACTAGCTGAGATGTTTGTGAAGTGCTTTATGTGGACCCAGGATGTGCTTCTGGAGACATAATGCATATAAAGTGTGTGACATGTCCACAAATACAGCCATGGGTTCCCAGAACTAATTTGATCACTGTGGTAACTGAAAAAAATGGTTACCGCACAAAAGAGAATTGAGCACAGCTATTGCTTTTGGACCCATGGCTGAACCAGATCATGTACTACTTCCTCCACACTGCTGGGTCCTTGCAGTCACTCTCGCAGTTTTAACATGGGTTTAACATACATGAATTGACCCAGAATTTTTAGGAACTCTGTAAAATTCTGGAAGCAGGAGGTACAATGCAGGGAATACTAGGTACTTCTAAATCCTACTGTGCAGGGGGAGCCCAATGAACACAGTTACATGAGATAGGATGAAGCCTCTTGCACTTTAGTGGGATTCAGACATTAATGTATCTCGATTGCTCATGTGAAAAACACTTGTTGTGGGGTTTCTACCACCCTCATCTGCCTCTCTCCACCTCCGCCAATGGGACCAGCTGATGTCCTTCTCAGTTCATGCCTCTCTGGCAGAAGGCTCCTCCCCAATCCTCAACAGATGGTTCTTCCAAGGCCTGAGTGACTGTCACTTCCCTTTCCAGCTCTGCTCTGCTTCCTAAGTTATGTGCCCAGGCTCAGAAAGTGATGCAGCCACATAAGGCATACAGATGCTCAGTACCATATTTGCAATTACTCCTTCAGTTTTAAGCAGCAAATGAGGGAGAGCACATAAGAAGAGGCATATGGTCAATTAGAGCCTCATTTCTAAGTCACATTTCTAAAATTCTCATTGTTTTAAGAGCACTATTTATAATTCTGAATATCTGGGATCAATACCAAGCCTTGGCTGTCACTATGGCTAGAGGATTCAGTTGGAGAGTGGAATGCTATAGAAGGCAGGACAAAAATGTGTATCACTCATATGAAGATTCACAATTCACATCATAGAAGCCAAAACAAAACACTTGCCACAAACGTATTAAAAACAGACAAATAGAAGCATTTGTCCAGACTGAAAAGCAAGCCCAATGCAATGAGAATCCGAGAGGCAATGATCCAATATGGTTTCAGTATTTAAATACACGTCACCTAAATATGTGCTTTAATCCATTTCACTGTAAAATTAGAAGTGCTAGAATTCTATACAGTGAAGCCAATATGAGTACAGGAATTAGGTCTTTTTGATATTAACTCTGAGCTCTAATTAATCCTATTCAACTGCCATGGCATACTGTTTTATACATACACCATACACAATAATTAAGTATAGGTTATACAAACCTGTTTGATCTTCCGATATTCTTGTAAAACTTCATCATGAAGGATCTACAAGTTTAAGGATAAATTTATGGTTACTAAGTACAGCTAGCAATTAACAATTACCTTAAGATTAACTGAAGACACTGTACAGTAAGAACATCCATCTTAACACATTCCTGGATCACACATTCATTTTACCAAAAACTCCCACTCTCCCCTCAAGAATTGGGATGGTGTGAATTTGGTATTACAGTTTGAAAACCCATTTGGTAGAGCCCCTCATTTCTGCCTTCTCTGCAGAGAAAAAGAATCGCTCACTAATAGAGAAGAACAGTCAGTAACAAAGAGTCACTGAGCCAGTTCAGACAATCATATCTCAGCTTACTAGGCCAAAATATGAATAAGACTATAAACCAACTTCAAACTGTTGCTTAATGTCTTGGCTTGTTCTGGAGCTGGTATCCATGGAATACTGAAGCTACAGTATCCCAGTTTGGATGAAACAGGAAACTATGATTTGTGGGAGAGCTTTGTTGTTTTGATGGATGTCACTGGAGGCTAGAGCTTAAACACCCCCCCCCCCAAGGGGACTATGAACTTAAAGCAATGTTGAGATACAACTTATGTTTAAGAGGAAGAACATGGGCCAAAAAGTAAAAAGTCACTGTGGAGGTGAGAGGAATTTTGCAACGTATGTGTGAAGCGGTGCAGGGTCTCTGGAGATGCTTCTGATGGGAGCGGGACGGTGGTCACCACTTGTCAGCTATACTTGGAGAAAAATACCCTGCCTTCAGACTGAGGAAGAAAATGGCAATTTCCTGTTGATCTAGCTGACCAACTGAAAGGAGAAGACTATAGTTCCTTTGGAACTTCCTACTATGGGATGGAAGGGACAGGAACTGAGCAGAGGAAGATTGGAGCTATCCTTGAGATTTCAGCTGTCCACCCCAATCACAATGGAACAACAATACAGTGGTACCTCGGTTTATGAACTTAATCCGTTCTGGAAGTCCGTTCTTAAACCGAGGCGTGCTTTCCCTAGTGAGGCCTCCCACCACCGGTGCCCTTCCACTGTTCGGATTTCGTTCTTAGACCAAGGTAAAATTTGCAAATCAGGACACTACTTCTGGTTTTGCGGAGTTCATAAACTGAATCGTTCGTAAACAGGACTGTTCTTAAACTGAGGTACCACTGTATTGTGACCAGCCAACAAAGAATGCAGTTTAATACATTAATGGCAGATACACAAGACCAATGAATGTCAACAACTGGATTTATCAGATCACATCTGGACTGAAAAGAAAAGAAATATTGCTCCTCACTTGATGTTATATGAAAAGTTAAATAATATAATACAATGAATGGAAATCATTAGGAGTACAGCTGTTGACTAAGTGATAATTTTATAAAATGGAATATAACCAGAGGTAAATAGGAGTATGAAACACAGTATTAGTAGATGACAAAGACGCATCAAGAATGGCATGTGGGAAGCCACTTGAACAAAATTGTATTAATTTGGAAATAATTAGTATAATTTTCATAATCAAGCTAAAATTTGGAAAACCAATAAAACTGACAAAAAAAGAAACAGGAAGCTATGGCTAATTAGCGGCTTTCTGGTTGGTTGGTTTACACTGCATGCATACAGCCCCTTTGCTCTTCCATTTGCAGTGTGAGCAAATGTTCATCTCAGTTTATTAAACCAAGATATGCTGAATGTGAATGCTGAATGCGGGCACTGCCTTTCAGCATCAGAGAGCTTTCCGACTAGACACTTTAGGAAGTCTCCTCTCCTCCTGTTGTGTTTGTGCTAAGCAATACTCCAGGGGTTAGAGGCTAGGACAAAAGAACCAAGTTTATACAAATATATTGTTGATCCTACCACAACATGAGCATCATCCTGCTCTTGCACAACTCTTTGTCATCACTAATCATTGGTTTTAAGACCCAGCAGCAAGCACTACTTCTCATTTATCTTAAAGTAATCTGAGGGCACAAGACTGATGAACCTACATCCCTAATCACTATATTGGTTTGAACCAGAGAATGGGAGTAAACACTGCAGATCAGTTCATGATTGATATGTAAATAATTCTCCTAAAAGAATCCAATACTAGTTTAAGCCTTGCCAAGGAAAGTAAAGATCCATCACTTCCCAAAATAAAAAGATGTGACGGGGTTTACAAAATAGAACCAGCCTCTACCAAGTCTGCAGGACAGGAATGATCACAATTGTGGAACATTTCCCAAAAGTTATTCTCTATAAGGCCTCCATGGAGGGATTTGGCACATACAAGGTACAGTCAAAAGTTCTTATAGAACTTAACATTATGGCCATACCATGGGGAACAGATGTAACGTGCGTCCAACAATACTAATCCAAATCATGAGGCATACTTGGATGAAGGTTAAAGCTACATTAACATCAGAGGAAGGTGGAAAGCAAGTTTTACCTGATATTCTTTTGATCCTGGAGAAACCAGCTTACGCTGTGCATCTAGTTTCATAAACCTTCTAGTAACACTCTCCATCCTTGCATGCAAGGTTCTATATTCATCATATTCTGCGTTGAAGTCATCCTTGTAACTTTGTCGTTGTTCATAAGAGATAATAGCTATGTATTTTCTTTTTTTAAAAAAAGAAGAAATAAAATAAACAAGATTTAAAATTCATGGTATTGTAATTTTTTTAAAGGTTACCATAATTCACTTCCCCTTAAAAACTTATTAAGAGGTATAAATTACTTAATTCCCCCTTCACTGTCATGGTGATCTAACCACCTTTTAACTAGTCAGAATTTAGTTTCTGCAATCTCCAGGTTACCGGTTATTTTGTTCAAAAAAATGTTCACAATGACATGCATTTTTTACATAGGAACCAAGAATATTAAAATCAAACACTGCTGGTTTTTAAAATTATTCTGTGAATCTGATTATAGTTTATATTTCCTACAATTAATACAACTGAAGGACCTTTTAAATATCAGGCAAAATCTCATGACTTGGGTGGACTAAATAAGTTAATAAAAAGCCCAGGTGGCTAAGACTTAAGAAATGGTTACAGTACTGTATCAACTACGATTGTGTGGGAGGAAAGATAAACAGCTTCCACCTCACTGAAGATGTTTTAGTGGAAATACATTTTATGCAATCAAATTAATTGCTGCCTATTGCTACATATCTCCAAGCCTCCCTCTCTGCCGGGTTAGGGGAATTAGAAGGAACAATAGTATAGATTGTCTCCTTTCTGTTCTTGCATTGTCCTACGTTATACCCTTCACTTTATCATTATTCACCTTTTCATTGCTCTGACCATGCAACAGCCCTCTTTAATTCCCTAAACTGGCTTCCTGTTTGCTCCTAGATCATGCACAAGATTCTTATCCGTACCTTCGCAACCCTCCATGGCCTTTGCCTTTCCATATTCAGTTCTTGTATCTTGACACAACCCTAACTGTAGCTATTACTCATACAGCTCCACCCTCCTCAACTATCTGAAGGTCTTCTCCTACCTGAAATAACTTCTACCCAAAACTGTCTTCCTGAACACTTCCATGTTGTTTACTCTCTTCAAGTACTTCCTCAAAACCCGCATTTGCCATGTTATGAAGCCTCTGGGACAACCCCCAGTCCCGATAGCCGATTGTAACTAAACCCAAGTACATTTATGAGAAATAATGGTACATTCTACTTCTATTTACTACTGCCTCCATCATTCTCCACTTCCTTTATTTCCCTTGTGCCTATTTTTAGAGTGCAGGTGCTTAAAGACCCGTTTTCTCTCTTTTTGTAAAACGCCATGTACATAGGCAGCACTGTAGATTAAAAAAAACATTATTCCACTGGCCTTGCAACCCTTTATCTGTTTTCTGCATGACTGCTAACAAACAGTGCCTTTGGGAGAGAAATTGCTAGCCACACCGTCAAGTGAGTTTCTACAGGAATGCAAGACACCATCGTCTCAGATTTTTCTGCACAAAAGGAGTGTGTGCTGCCCAAGTAGAACAAAACAGGGCTCTGTGCCAGTTACAGCTGATATGCGATAGACATGTGCAGGCAGCGTGATTCCAGGGACAAGGGTCATGTGAACATGATTGGAGTCATTGCACTCTCACCGCCCTGTTGTACAGTAGCACTACTGGGCAAGGTTGTGTCAGCATTTCGATTCACAACATTCAAAAGCACACACTGCTCTTCCCCCCCCTTTTTTTACACCAAGGGTTATTAGGTTTACTGCATGTATTTAAATCCCCAGTACAGATGGTTTTTTTTAAAAAAAATCTTGTTAGAGAATGAGAAGTAAATCTCTTTCCAACACATAGGGGTGTTGGAAAAGCATTTCAAGTAACTCATAAAAATGTGCATTTCATTTTCTTTGTCTCAAGAAACAATTACAAACAGGACATACTGAAAATCAGCAACCAGATGTTTGAAAATAGTTACTTTTCAGCAGGATTTCTACAATAGCACTAACTAGTTAATAATTAGCTAATAGCTAAATCTGTGACTGCTGCAAACTGGACATCTACCAAGAGGAGATGTTATGTCTGAACAGTGCAAAGTTCTAGTTGTAGAAATGTTTACACCCCAAGCAGGCTGCAGTCCCACACCACTGGCACTGCTGAGAGGCCAGCTCCACCAGATGTTTCAGCTTCCTCAACTATCGCCTGACAGCAGCTATTCCATCAGGTTGCAGAAAAGAGGAAGACTTAAGCAGAAGAAGAGCAACTATTGGCTCCTCCTCTCCTTGAACCATTTCTCTCTCAGCTGGTCATTAGAAAAACTTAACTGAGAACTAATGCCCAACTCCCCCTCCCCTTCCTTCATCCTAATCTCTTTTTCTTTTGTGTCTCTTTTTAAGCCTGAGGGCAGAGACTGTCTTATCACTGGTCTTTGTGAGGCACTCTGGGAGCCTTTTCAGATGAACAGCTGGGTGGGAATGCTTTAAAAAAATAAGTGAGCTTAGTTGATTGGACAATATTTTTGTTTTTTACTTCCCCCACCACTATCTCATCTAAGAAGCACACACACTCCACATGATCTATTTCAACTTTTAGAAAAACAACAATGATTTTGAAGCACAGACATATTCTGGGGAAGAGGAGCAGAGAAAAGTCAAAACAATAGTATTTTTTACATGAAGAGTTTTGCTGTTTTTATTATAAACAGTCTGCATTGCAATGGCTTTTTCAAAACAGGTGTAGCCTGCTAGGCCACAGGAATATTCATGCAGCCATACATTCATGTTGTTTTGATGCCTATTTGTTTCCTTGACTGCAGTGGCTTTTGTGTCCCATTATTCTTTTTCACTCCCTTTTGCTTTCGATGCCATTTATCAAGGGTGACCCACACGATTTTGTTTGCATCTGCGCCACAAAATTGCAAGGCATACTAGTGTGCCGTTGTCAACAAAATCACATGGACTGCCATGGCCAAATTAAAAGGCGAAAAGGGAAAGGAGAAAAAATGGTGTTTATAATCAGCCGCTGCCAAGGGAACAAAATGGATGCAGAACATACCAAACAAAAAGCCCAAAACAAATAAATTCAGAAATAGTGTCAGACATCACTGAAAATATGAAGTGCTTTTCAACAGAAAGCTATAAAGTGATAGGTAAAGGTAAAGGGACCCCTGACCATTAGGTCCAGTTGTGACCGACTCTGGGGTTGCGGCGCTCATCTCGCTTTATTGGCCGAGGGAGCCGGCGTACTGCTGCTTCCGGGTCATGTGGCCAGCATGACTAAGCCACTTCTGGTGAACCAGAGCAGCGCACGGAAACGCTGTTTACCTTCCCGCCGGAGTGCTACCTATTTATCTACTTGCACTTTGATGTGCTTTCAAACTGCTAGGTTGGCAGGAGCAGGGACCAGACGACGGGAGCTCACCCTGTTGCGGGGATTCGAACCGCCGACCTTCTGCTTGGCAAGTCCTAGGCTCTGTGGTTCAACCCACAGCGCCATCCACGTCCCTTATGAAGTGATACTATGATGCAAAATACAAAGTTGTGAAGGAGCAGACATGACTCACTGAGTGGGGTGGAACCACAGCAACAGCCTCTAGGAAGAAGCATCACTGTTGCTTACGAGGGGTGAAATGGCGGTGAGGTTGCGGTTCTGTGCACACCCCTTTGGGAATGCGAATTAGCTCTACCAGCCCCAACCTTGCCACCGCCTCCCCACTCCCTGTAAGTGGAAGTGGCCCTGCTGTCGGGAGGCTCCTGCTGCTGCTGGGCTCCATAAGATAAGCTGCTCCTGTCAAGGAGTTGCTTAGGATTGTTCTCTATTACTACTTTTAAATGTGTAAGTACACTTATTTTGCAAGCTTCTCTGAGTGTAGGAAAAGCAACATACAAATGCCATGAATTAATTAAGTCAAACCTTTGCTCTATCACTGTGACAGTTGATGCTAAAGCCAAGATACATACATAGAAGGGAGCGAACTGCATAGGAGCTGGCTTAGACTACTTCGCAAGATCCGAATCATATGTGGTTCAGGACCCCTTTAGCGTTAATTCTTACCATTTGCCCGAGCTTTTCCCTGTGCAGGTTGCTGAGAGTCATTTGACTCCAAACTTCTGGGAACAATTTGAATTCAGCCAGCTATCTCATCTAAGAGAGTTACTCTTTTAACAGATTACACTTTCTGGAAGGATGAACGGGCAGATCTCAATACCAGGAATCAAGATGGCAGACAAGCTATCCAAAGAACACAGGTACTTTTGACTATTTTATTCTTATGAAAAGGCCAGAGGTGAGGTAAACATGAACTTTATTCACAACCAGTCCTCGAGATGGCATATCAACTAAGAGACTTTTCTCTTCAGCATGGGAATTGGAGGGAAAGTCATGGCAGAGCTGCAATAACGCAAGTCTACTTGAAATAGACTTGAAATGGGACGCAGGTGGCGCTGTGGTCTAAACTACAGAGCCTAGGGCTTGCCGATCAGAAGGTCGGCGGTTCAAATCCCCACGATGGGGTGAGATCACTTTGCTCCTGCTCCTGCCAACCTAGCATTTCAAAAAGATGTCAAAGTGCAAGTAGATAAATAAGTACCGCTCCGGCGGGAAGGTAAACAGCATTTCCGTGCGCTGCTCTGGTTCGCCAGAAGCAGCTTAGTCATGCTGGCCACAAGACCCAGAAGCTGTCTGCGGACAAGACGCCTGTTCCCTTGGCCAGTAAAGCGAGATGAGCGCCACAACCCTAGAGTCGTCCGCGACTGGACTTAACGGTCAGGGGTCCCTTTACCTTACTTGAAATCTTACACAGAGTAACATTTCCAGACAGCTTTCCCCTCTTTACTTAGTAACTTTCTTAGTTACTAAGTGCTTTTTCACTTTGAGGGAGCACTGCATAAATTGTTTCCTGCCACTCTATCCCCTTTCGCCAGCATTATCCTACTTACACAAAGTAGTCCGGTAGTTCACTTGTTGACAAAGGATCTGTGGTGGAAGCGCAAGTCTCTTCAACACCTATAAAGAAATACAAGTTTACACACTTTGATAAGAGATTGTTCCCAAACCAAACTGGATTTGACTTTCAAGTGCCTACACAGAGGGTTCCTTTCTAGGCATTAGCTTTAAGAGACAATTAAGAGCAAACCACCCTATTGAATATTTATAATAGTAGTTGCATGACAAATTCTCAATCAGCCAATGGCAGGAACTTAAAATGCAAAAGGAACTTTGGTCTGCGTACAATAAAAGCAGTCCAGTCTTAACCTAAGGTCAGCCTTCTATTATTTCAAGACAAGTTGTGGCATCTGCACAGCAATTCAAGAATTTCTGTGGCAGATGTCGGTGGACAAAAGGAGATGGGAGTTTTACATCAACATCCAGCTTTCACTAGGGCACAATAAACAACAATGGAGTGGAATGCCAAAGTGCTTTTCTTTCTGCTAATTCTTCCTCTTCACACAAAGTTATGAATATGCAAAGATAATCAAATAATTTACTATAAAATAAGATGACAAGCAATTACTGGGTTGAATCTATCTGTCATCAGAATGGCAGGGTTAAAAATAATTGCTTGGATGTAAAGAATTTCTTGTATGAACAGAAGGCACTTGCACTTACATGTGAGGCAATATATATATAGATTTCTTAAAATGCTGCCAAACAAACACAATCAAATATAGTGGTAGGTTAATGTATTTCATATCAATATATAATCCAAGTTAACACATTAGAAAAGGAAAAACTTATTTCGTATTCCTAAAAATATAATTTTAAAATGTGTGTTTCTTAAGCTGGACTTAGTCTGATAAAGAAGACCAAGAATCTGTGATAGTACCCTGTGCGACCAAGCAACTAAACAAAGACAATTCATATTGTCCCAGGCCCTGACTAGGACAACCAAGTCATGAGCCTCAGTGAATTGGAAATCTATTGTATCTAGTCAGCAATAATATTTAAACAGGAATTTGTTCAAATATGTAGTCAACTTTTTATTTAACTTCACAAAATAGTTTTAATAGTTCACAACTAAATTTGGCTCTACAAAGTGTGTCATAGGTCCTTTAGAAAGTTACAAATCACAGTGCCATTGCTGATATTCAATAACTTTTTAAAAAAATAGCAGCTATATTTCCTCCCTGTCTGGGTTTTTTTAACCACAGCATCTTTGTATCCTTTCTAAAATAGGGAAGGCAACAGATAGGTGGTCAACTTTCAGGATAACAACTCAAGTTCCCTGAGTGGCTGTCACTACAACTATTGGGGGAAGCCTGGAACTCTGTATCTAAATACTGTGTCTTGAGACAATGTCAAATCTAACAGTTGAGAAATTGAAAGAATGGTATGAATAATTATTTCTAGCTATTTACTAATGGAATGCCTATGTACTTTAATAATGTGCACCAATAACTTAACCAGGCTACAGCCATCAGTCATGGTTGTATTTTTCGCTATCTGAAAAGTTATGAGGTGTGGTTCTTGAATTGGGCCACAAGTGTGGTCACAGTAGTCAATATAACAAACTTGTGCCTTTCGGCTGTTTATGCATAGCTCCAGCCTATATCATATGGGGAGTGGGGGCTTGTCACCTTGACTCTCTGCTCTTGAGACACTTCGAAGTACAAAGCAAACCCTAGCCCTACTCTTCAGTTGCAAGCATGCTGGGGCTTATCTCTAAGTATTGTGATTTCAGCAACACCCCAGTAGACCTTCTCAAAACTCAACTCCGAGGTGAGACAGTGCCCTGGTGACTGTAAGTTTGCGGCTGATAATCAAGGCCAGCCAAAATTTGTAGACTGCTGCATACTGGGTTCATTACTGTCAATGATTTAAATATTATTCCTGTCCCACCCACTAGATTAAATCAATACAAAGAAAATCTGTGGGGCAGGTTAGAATAAATGATGGTCAAGAGTACATTCCCACAGCTTTTTGCAGCTGTTACTTCTCTCCAGCACTGAAACTGTGTATGCAAGTTAATAAAGAGAAAAACAACCTTACAAGAACAGGCGTACAAATATATACTTCAGCTGATTAGAGAAATTGTTCGGAGGCAAGATATATACACCGTATAAAGCTTTCATTCATGTGGCTCTGAATATACATTGGTCGTTGGCAACCGATTTCAAGTTCAGCCAAAAGGAAAGAGACAGGGAATTTCCATGTATTACATTTGCATGGGTTTAACTGCTTATGGGCTGGCCCCATCCTGCACTAAGAACAGGAATGCCTGCATCCTGGAGACAAGGGAGGGGTTGGCATGGGAGGTAACCACTTCATTCAACTATCCCTTGTCTACCTGTATGCAGGTATTACTGTATGCAGGTATTACCATGGGCAAATAACTCCCATGCTTCAGTGCTAATGTAATTATAGGGCATAGGTGCCTTGGTCGTCCAAAGTGAAAAGCAATGACAATACCTTCAATCAGTTTCAGGCTGGAGTTCTTCAGTTTGACAATTTCCTTCTTTTCACAGTCTCTCTCCTTCTCTGCAGCATTCCCAGTGTTGTGGTCTTTGATTTGGTCCTTCTCCTTATGCTTCTTGGACTTCTTCTTGGATTTTTTGTGCAACGCTGAGTGTTTCTCATCCGTAGACTTTGGGCACACTGACAGATCTTCAGCAGGTGCTGGGATTTCCAGCGGAGTCCTAGAAGTATATTTCTGATGCTGGTCCCCATAAATGCTGCCATTCTGACTCAAAGTGTCAACAGGCAGGTCTTGAGTCCCCCGGCCTTCAGGAGTGCTGGGGGAATTGGAGTTAGAATTCACAGTCCGAGGAGGATTTGAAACAGGAAGGCAAGTTGGAGGAAGTGGCAGAGCAGCTGGTGTTGCAGCAACTGCAGGGGGAGGGGGAGGCTGAGAAGCTTCAGCATTCTTTTCACCAGAAGCAGTCAAGTGACCATTTAGTGTTGGTTGAACTCTATTGGTAAGATGAGATATCCTTGGTTTCTTGCTCATTAAAGGATCGATAAAATCAGAATCCAAAAGCCGTTTCTGCAATAAATTGAGGCACGCAAAGAGCACTGTTATTTTTGCAGTTATTAAGAAATGACAATTAGAAATAGTTATATAGCAAATATAGAAGATAAAGGAACACTATTTCAAGCTTTAGAAGAAGAGTTGTGTGAGCAGAAGGGAGCTCCTGCAATGGATTTTATTTATGGTGCCATGGGAATTCTCTGTTGGACGTTGATAAGATCTTAAGAAAACCAAATAATTCACACTGTGATAATTTAGATATTAAAGGAACAATGTTTGTACTTAACATGTCAACTGGTGCTAAATATTTTCTGAAAACACTAAACACACGTTCCTTGTCCTAATTTCTCGTGTCCACATGCAGCCATGGCCCAAAATATTTTGCTGCCTGAAGCAAAGCATCAAATTGTGACTCCTTACCATGAAAGAATCAACTTTTTAAGTTTTGCTACACTCTTCAGACATTAATTTCTGCATTCATCAATCCCTTTCACCTATGCTATCTGAAATGATCAGCTTCACCTTGCTACAGGATAGGACCAGACTTTTTCACATGGGAGGAAAGAATAATTCCAATATTGTCTGAAGTCGCTCTCACCCAATAGTGGAGTTGTTTTTTAAAAAACACAGAGTGAATATGTGCCCAAGAGCACGCATGCACACACCCAAGCTAGATGCTACTTTGCCAAATCAGCACTTTCCCGGGGAAACAAGAAGCCACATTTTGAAACTGAAAAGCTTAAAATGTGCTTTGGTGGCATGGGGCTGCTAAACTGGAAAGGCAACTAATGCCAGGTGTATGCTCAAGTAGTCAAGTGGGTTGTGTCCAATGACTCATATCTGTGAGGACATGGACTGTTTCAGTACAGTGCAGGAAATCTTACCAGAAGGGCTCAGCACCAATCTACACAACAGATTTAAATTAGATGTGAGTCAGAGAGAGCGCACAGAAGAGACAGAAACCAGCAGACCAAAAGCAAGCACAAAAAGTCATTCTTCCTCCTTAAGGCAGATTAGAACTGCTCCTGATTCTTTTTCTCTTGGAACACTTATTAGGAATTTTAAGCCACTCTATAAGTGCAATATTTTCAACTTTGGAAGACTGTTGTAATTCCCTCTCCAAAACAGGTGTTACCATAATATAGATATCTATAGAAATACTCAGAGAAAGAGAAGCTGCCTTATATCAAACTGGAACACTCAACCTTCTAGTTCAGTGTTGTCCATAGTGGCTAGTAGCAGCCAGAGGTGTAGCGTGGTGGGTGCCGTGGCCCCGGGTGCAATTTTGAAAGGGCACAAACAGGCGCCCCACAGCAGGCTCCTTCATCAGACCCTGGCTCCGTGCCAGAAGAAGCTATGCCTTGGCATCGACACTTGTGCCTGTTGCAGTTCCACCCCCTGGGTCAGGCCTGACCCGGGGGAAGGAGAGCAGGCAAGTGGGTGGAAGAGCTGCTGCCCACCCTCCACGGCACACCTTGCGCCTGGCAGCAGCAGCTCTGCCACTGGGTCACTTCTGGAGAGCGGCTGCCACCCACCCTCCTTGGCTGCGAGGTGCCTTGTGCCTGGCTGCAGTAGCTCCACTGCCGAGTCACGTCTGACCCGGAGGTGGAGAGCAGTAGGAGAATGGGCAGGAGCTTTCCTGCCCCTCTCCAATCCTGAACTCTGTGCCCTGCCCGCACCAGGCAGCGTGGGCATACGCTCCAACACTGGTAGCAGCTCTTTCGAACTTCAGACAAGATGCCAGGACTGAACCTAGGACCTTTCTGCATGCCAAGTGAGTGTGCTCTACCACTGACATAGCTCTTTCCCACTACTCAGCTGAAGCTTCCAAACATACCTCAGCATTTGTTATGTGTTGCCTTGTTGGATGAATCAGGGTATAAAGAGTGATAAATAAAATACCTGGGAAGGAGAAGCAGATGCAGCATCTTTTTGAGAACCCAGAGGAGATTCCAAGTGACCGGTGCTGGTGACATTCTGAGATGAATTGAGTTTTCTGTAAAGATCACCCACATTCCAGGTTACAAGGAATATCAAGTTAACGATGTTCTAGCAGTTATTATCTGTAGGAAGCAAATAGCTTCTGTTTTCAAGTCAACATATTACAAAGAAGGGATTGAACTTACCGGGAGAGTATTAATTCCAGCGACTGTTTATCTATTTCATTGTACCCAGGCCAGTCTTTCTGAACTTCCTTATAAACATAGTCTTTCAGTGTATAAGAGTTGTCCTTTGGATTCAAATTCGCTACCTACAGATAAAGAGATAAAAATACAAACAGTATCAGCAAGTTGACAGAACCTGGTGTTCAACACAGCAAACCATGAAGGCAGGTCTCCTCCACAGTGGTGCCTACTCTATTGAATGCCTTCCCCCAACTCCAATGTTTGGGAGGCACAGACTGTTGGATTTGTCCACTGCTTCCTAAAATCCCACTTAATCAGACTTTCCCTGACTGGCAGCACTACACCCTTCCTAGTTTTATTCCTGTGAATGGGCTTCTTAGTATTATTTACTCTTGTAAATAACTTTGCCAAGTGTAAATCACCATACAAGTGGTATAGAAATATTATTAAAGAAATAAGCTACAGATAAAATTTGGGTAAGTACCATGCAAGACTGATGTAAAAGCCACAACAGCTACATATAGATTTATCCCATGAGTTTAAAGAGAATATAAATACCATGTTAAAAATAGTTTTGCTTATTCAATGTATGTGTTTGCACACAGACTCATAGAAATGTTTTAAATACAAAACATATACATACACATGATTAAATACGGTTAAACAGACATATGATCTGATATGATGACTGAATACATCCAGATTCCATCCTAAGCACAAATTTGGTTCAAATTATCACATACCTAGGTCACACAGTATTGAAATATGTGTGAATGTATATATTCTGAAAAAGAGGTGGCCGACATTGCATTTTCCCTTCCTACGTTTTAACCTGTACAATTCAACATATTAGTCTAATCCTGCATTTCTCTACACCTTAACGTTACCTAATTATCCTCCTAAATTGCTTTGGTTACTAAAACTACTGCAAAATAGCTGGTGTTCTTTCTTATGTTTATCCCACTTGTTTTTTAAGACATATATTTATTTCCTTCCTTATTCTTCGTAGATAACGAAAAGCAGAATTTTTAGCTAACCCTGATCTCTCAACTGGCCTAAGATATCTGCTTTCTTCCCTAAATCACTGCCCCATCCACCAGAACATTCCATATTCGTAAAACCTATGTAAACCATGGAATCTTTGCACTTTCTAGAATCAGTGGCGGAGCATATGCCCGCACTGCCCAGGGCGGAAGCGTTCCCGAGGGGCGTGGAGGGTGTCCTTCCAGGCGCAGGATAGCCACACGCGTGCACCCACCGATCCCACTTCCCGCAATCTCCCCTTCCCGCTTCCCTGCCTGCTTCCTGTCCTCTCCCCTGCCTGTCTGCCTCCTCCAGCCGGGAGCACGGGGAAATGGTGCGCTGCCCGTCCATGACTCCTGCGCCTACTGCCAGCCATCAGAGGAAGGGGGGAGCTACTGTGCCATGCTCCTGGCTGGAGGAGGCAAGCAGGCAGGCAGGGGATAGGATGGGAAGGAGGCAGGCGAGTGGGAAGGGGAGAGCAAGGAACCGGCAAAGCGGCGCAGCAACTCCCCCCTTCCCCCAACGGCTCGCGGTAGGCGTGGGAGTCCCGAGTTGTGGGCGGGTGGAGCACCGAATGTCACCCCTGCTCAGGGATGACACCCAGAGCAGTGCGCCACCCCCCCGCACCCACCTTCCTCCGCCAGTGTCTAGAGTGATATGAGTAAGTGCTTAAAAGATAACCGAATATGAAATTATTCAACTATTTTATGCGGTCACTTTTAAACACCAATCAAGTATAGCTGTGTATCCCAGATACCTAAACGATGGCTATATTCCAAAGAAAAGATCTGCATGTGCAGGAGTGAATTGCACATGAAGCTGGAACTTTGCTTATTGTTCTTGGCGCAGCAGTTTCTGAAGAAGCAAACTGCTGTTTAGCTTAAAAACCAGGTTGCCTCTCTGGCAGTGAGAGTAGGAATACAGCAATGCTGTGTCAGTAGGAGTTAACTTCAGATATTCTACTCAGTCAAGACTTCTGAAATATACTTCTCAGCTACCTTGTAGTTTCTGTAGAAAGAAGAGTCTACATTTTTACACGCATGGAATTACTTCATTATCCCACTTTGAAGGCTTGCATTTAGCAAAAGAGTTCTCTTCTGCCCACGCTTTTTCTAAATTCTTTTGGAAGTAGCTTAGTCTTATTTTCTATTTTCTTATTCTTGTCAATTTAAAGACCCCATTATAATCACTTCCTAGTAAGATTTCTCCTTCAGCTAATAAAATTAATTTAGCTGGGGGGGAGGAAGCATTATAGTTTCAAGTTTAAAGCATAAAAATTCTCCCTCTTTAAAATATCAAGAGAAAAATTTATTGAGGAGTTTGTTTTCTCAAGTCTTAAAATGAGAATTTTAAAAAAATGCTCTTTTTAACTGGGTTGTTTAAATCCATTGGCTTGGAAGCAAAGATGCCTTCCTTCACTTTTTCATTCAAGTGCTGTTTCTGACCAAGCATAAATGTGCTTGGTCATGAAAAATATGACCCCAGATTCAAAGTAGTCCTCCCATTTGAGCAAGCTAATGCACAAGTTTTATCTCAAGAGCTTTTACACAAACCACACTGTGGAACATGTTACAAGAGTCTTTAGGTTTAGACCCAAACCTGCAGTTTTTTATATAGATGGATGTTGGCAAAACTGGAGGCATTTTCAAGATATGCAAAAGAAAAACAAAAAACCCCAAAAACTAATTTGGCATAACACCACTAGTTTAAGCATGGCAATATATGTACCATAACCACTGAAAACAAAAACATGAGAAAGGATAGGAGAGTAAAACAAAGAATCTCACCTGTTGAAGAATAATTGCAAGGGAATTCCTGTCTTTTTGACTAACACCATCTTTGAGTAAGCGAGCAAGAAGCTCCGGTTTTTTATAGGTTTTCAGTGCCAATAAGTGAATCACTCTATCCCTATATGGCCGCTGAGAAATACTGTTGTTTGTATGCGTCTTGCGTATTGTACTTGCTGGGTTGATGGGAGTGGACCTTTTCCTTTCAGGCACTGCATCTGGAATACTTTGTGGCGCTTTCCGAATTTGTACTCTTTTACCTATATGCAAGATAAACAACCGTTTTCATTTCTCTCCACCTTAGACACAAACGAGTTACCCAAAATTTACTTCCAAACTGACTGCTGGAGAAAACAGATTCATTGACTCAAGTTTTTATGACATATTGGGGATTTTTTTAAAAAAAAAAGGATTTCCAACCGTTTTAGAGATTTGTTCCTTCTTTGTGCCTATAGCCTATATTAATATCGGTAACAGTGGATATAATTTCATTACCTTATAATTTAAGACTCAAGTAAATCCCTGCAGTATATTTCCAACGGGCAAGTTTGGTCAATGTTAAGGCTATGTAATTTGTGGGATCATCAACCCATCTCTTTTTATTCTGTAAAATTTAACTGTGGCATCCTGCTAGTGCAACAGACTAGGTGAGTCCACTATGTGCTAGTTGATGAAACTGAACCATTCTCTCTCTTTTTTTTGTCGGTATTATTTTCTTCTAGTATTAAATTTTCTGCTGGTGTGTGTCCGTATCCTCTGCTCTCAACTGTTCTTTTTAATGAAACTAAGTCCAAGGATCACTGACTGGTACCCTTGCTATTGCGCTTTACAAATTCTAAATAGGGCAAAATGGATTCAAAATTTAGTAGGAGAGACAATCTAATTTTACTAGCAGTTTCCTGGCAGCTATAAATGAAATAATTGATCTTTTGACACCTGATAGATACTAGTCTTCCAAGTCAGTGAAATGCCCAAATTCAAAGCCATACATGGCTAAACTCACCAGGTTGCTTTGAACAAGTTTATTGTGGGATATGGTTTATTTATATACAGTTTTTAGTCCAAAGGCCCCCAAAGTGGTGAACTATATTTATATTACTACAAAAGACCGCTATGATATTGCTCACTCTAACCTATGCCACACAGAGTTACGACAGACCACTAAAGATGATAAGCAAATATGTTTCTCGTTAATATTGCAGGATCCAATATGCCTAGTTATTTCCACAGCCAGTCAAAATAGTTGCTATGAAGTTTCTCTGAAGAACCCACAACTAGCATGCTTTGGTTCTGAAGCTTTGCTGTATCTTTCCAGGAAAAGAGCTTTGCATCACCACAAGCATTCAAAATTATTTGGCAAGAGCTGTGCCTTTTAAAAAAGTTCTGCAGTGCTTCATCTCTTCTGTAAATCTTGGTAACTGTGTGGGAGGAGGAGTTCTAATGAAAACCACCTGAACTCCTTCCACATACACACAGACCCCAGATCTGAACAACGGATGACGTGGTTTCAACAACAGCTACTAATGCTTGGGAACATGGCTATTTTAGAGTTCTTTGGTGTCGTGAGTTAGGAGGTGACTGGCTGAGAAAGCGGATGACAATGTTTTGTAGAACTGGATTATACTAGGAAACTCACTGCTTTGGAGGCCAACTAAAGGTAAAAGACAGAAAACTAGATGGTTTTATTACTGCTATACTAAAACCTTTGTTATTTTTTTTTATAAAAAACCTAACACACTTAACCAAACACAGGTAAAACCTATGTTATTTAAATAAACTATTATCTTATTTCAGCCATCCTGTAATAACACTTCAGTAGATGTTCTCTCATAAATCAGGTTGTTATTTTCTTGTTTTAGAAATAGCTTCCTCCCAGTTAACATAATAGCTTCCCAGTTATTATATAATATATTGGCAACTTGACTAGCATTTTACTATTGCAAAAAAGAACCAAATGCTTCTCTAATTCTAATCTACTGCAAACAACAAATTCACCAGAACCAAAACATTCTTTGCAAGTTAAATGTTTACTGCTAATAGCAAATACAGATTAAATGATCTGTTTACATCATGACACAGTTTGCTTGAGAATGCTAGAAAATTACTATTCCTCTAGGTTTCACTTGGCAAAAATATGTTTGCATGAACAAGTCTGGAGTTTTGGCATCCTTTGCCCATCTGTGAAGTGAGAATCATAGCCATCTACCTTATAGATTGCCAAAGAAAACAATAAAAGAAGAATAATGCGACTAGAAATTAAGAGTTACAAAAAAAAATTGGCTAATTTTATAAAATTTAGCTTTTCTTCCAAAAGACGTTTAATGATTTGCCAAGTGGACAGCGCATTACAAAGAATGCCATTCCGAGCATGTACAACCCAAGTTTCTAAAGTCAATAAAGTAAAAGATAACTTGAAGCTCATATACAACATGCAGCAACTTGAATTCCTGCTACAGAACATTAAAATAGAAAAAAAATTAAAAGCACTAATCTAAATGAATTAACTGCAGTTGATTCCTATTAGCCTATGCAGCTTAATCCTCACTACTGTGTTTCTTCAAACTCCTGAAGAGCCATAGAGATAAGGCAGGATAGAGAAGGACCCTTCCTTCTCTGTCCTACCTTATCTCTATGGCTCTTCAGGAAGCTGAGCCTTCCCTGGCACATTACCCAACAACCAAAGAGTATCAAATAGTATAGATTACATATGGAGTCTCTCCATTTTCCTTTACTCAGGCTACAAATCCTATACTCCCTTGCTTGAGAACAAGCCCCACTGAATTCAGTAAGTCTTACTCCTGAATAGACCTATATAGGATTGTGAAGGAAGTCATACCACAACAACTGAATGCCAAATCACCTATTATTACATTTCCCGTCATTAGCAATCCTGTAGCTACCACTGGTATAAGAACTAGCAGACAGCAGCATAAATATTCTAGCTTTAATACCTACGCACTTGGTATGTCAGCTGCAGCTGTCAAAAACTTCAGCTGGCACAACTTCTGCAGACACTGGACATACATTTTTTTTAATGCACACAGAAATGTCTGGGTCAAAGTATCTCTGCATATGGTCTAACTTATTTAACACATCTGACAGAATATAAATTGGCAAAACTGGTGTCTCAATTAATCTCTCTTCTTCATATCGCTCTTCCATCACTGTACACTGTAGCTGCTAGTGCCATCTAAAATCCTGTTAAAATACTGCCTCCAACATAAATTTGGACACTGAACTAAATAACCTCTGAGATCCCTTCTAAATCCAGTTCTATGATTTTAAGATACTAATGTTCTACTCCTTAAAATCAGAAAGATATTAAAACAGCAACTTATATCTGCAGAGTCCTGAAATGCATTAAAATTATTGTTCAAACGGTAACTATGGTATCCAGCAGCAGAATTCAGATGAACCTGACATGATGCCATCAGGATCAAGAGATACATCACTAACAGATAGTCATTCCCATAGCACAAATGTCAACCATCGTTTCCTCTCAAACAGTGTATTCTGGTGCCATATGGATGCTTTCAAAAAAAAAAAGGCAATGTATGAACGTTGCAGTCCTATATATGTTTACATAGCAGTAAGGTTCACTGAAACCAACAGGTTATACTTCAACCGTTACAACAGTTAGCATCAGGCTGTTACAGAGGGGGAGAAAAAAAGAAGAAGACAGTCATACCTACATATGGTCCACCAGGTTTTATGACCTTTGTACTTCGATTGCGAGACTCCTCTTCTGCTTGGGTCATACGTTCTCTAGTCATTTGGTAAGAATCATTTGTTGCACATACTGTGATTTTGTCCTGTATAAACCCCAAGCAACTGAGCTGGGAAGTTCCGGTACTAAGCAATAATGAGGGGGAAAAATCCTTATTTAAAACATTTGGATGTAGATGCAAAGATATAGCAAAACTAAGTATGAAAAGATACTATTTTATTTCCTTCTGGTCATTTAAAGCCAAGTTATGGACTGTAACATATTCATCTGTTTGCCAGTTTTGTATATAAATCTGTAATAGATGTTTTTGTAACAGAGAACTCAGGCAACAACATAAAACAGCATAGTGGTTTATATAAATATACTGCAGAAGGGAAGTGAAATGAATTGATTTCTTAAAGCAAAAGCAATGAATATGGTGAAAAAATTAAGAGCAGCCTTGATGGATCAGATCAAAAATTGAATCAGTCTAACATCCAGTTTTGGCCAATCAGATGCCTCAGGACACCCCATAATCAGGGCTAGAAAACAAAAGTCCTCTCCTGTTGTTGATCCTAGACAATTCTTAGTGGTCTAGTTTGTACGTAATGCTAAACCATGGTTAAGTGCTCTGTGTATAAAGAGGATAGATTCACCGTGAGTCTTGGTCTCACACGATGCTCATTCCTCCCTGGTGACTGAAAGTCAGGGTTGAGGAACTCTTCTTCCACTTGGCTTTATAGAATGAAGAGAGAAGAGTGGGAGCCAGAGCCCGAGACTCATAGCAGCTCCTCTCTGATTCTGCACATAGCTAACCTATGGTTTAGCAGAACTGGGCCAACGTTTTTAGTTAGCTGCCCATCATGAAGAGGCATTTGAGCCAGACTTAAGAACTAGATTTGACACTTAAAATTTACAAAAATGATCCTAAACATTTTTACTCAGAAATCAGTATATATACATAGAAGTGCGGACTTCTCCATATTCCACCAACTCATAGTAATATTTACAGGTGCTTCAAGATCAAGAATTTACAAAAAGGCAAAACGTGCCTAAATAGACACTTATCTGTTCAACCCCCCACTGATCATTAGATTAAATATTCTGGTGCCTACAGAAGAAGCCACAATAAGTCGTTTCCAAGAGGCTGTAGCCTTAAAGAAATTTGAACTAAATTTCTATAATACACACAAAGCAATTGTGCCAAGAATACATATTAACATTCCTTTCATTCCATTCTATAGCAAAGGCATGATTCATCAGTAGTATCCTGGGTGCATCTGCCATATTTAGCAGGCTGAGTAACAAAAGTAAACAGCTCTTTCTATATGCTCTTTATTAAATGTGTGAGCACCGTGGATCATCTCTAAGCATCACATGTGTATGCCTGGTAGAAAGAAACTCAATAATGTAAATTGGACAGGATACTTTGGCACATTTATAGGATAAAGAGTGGAAGGGACTTCATATCAAATAGCAGAAGGGAAAGAAGTGACATTTTTTGTCAAACACTAAGTCTCAACAAGATTATTTCCCAGACAGGTAACTGCATTCTGCAGCATATTGTAGCACATTTTAAAGTAATGTTTAAATTTGGAGAGGGATTCCTCATCAATAGTTCATTGCAATTACTCTTGAGATCATAGCAGCAATTAAAAACAAACAATTTCATTTCCCTTTCATAAACATTACCTTGAAACAGTTTGCTGGACGCAGTCAAAGCTTCCCTGAGGATTATCTTTGCCAACATTTGACAAATAGAAATTAAAGGTATGCACTTCATTTGGGAGATCAGTTTTGGGAATCTTGACAAGCTGAAAAAGCAATTAAAAAAAGACTCAGAAATGCTTACTTTAAGGAAAAGTACCATATCTGATCATTAATACAGTGAATAATACAGCAGACCTGACATGTCAGCTGCTTATTATCATGTAACAGATGCAACTGAAAGATGACAACTTGCCAAAGGGACACCCACTGGGTGATATCCAACCAAGTCATAGAGTAGATCTTCCGAAATCAATGGAGTGAAGTTCACTGATTTCAATAGATTTATTCTGCGTATGAATAACACTATATCCCACACACTGAGTCTAAGAAAGAACTGCATTCTAATCACAAAAGCACAAGCAAAAATATTGCTACACATAGAAATATTTTAGAGTTCACAATATATTTTCCTTTCACTGGTTTATTAATCCATAATAAGGCATACAACAAACTAGACATTTCTTGCAAGGTATAGTAGCCCTAAATGCACCTTTACATAATTCATTTACATTCAAAGTCTCAATAATCTCATGTGTACACACAAGGGGGGGTGTAATTGTTTTGTTCTTGTTTTTATTATGTATTTTGATCATGTAGGTTTATGCTGTGAACTGCCTGAGATCTTCAGATGAAGGGTGGTATACAAATTTAATAAATATAAATAAATGAATAAATGCAGGCACAACAGACTTCTTCCAAATTTATTGGCCATAGGACACAGCAGTAGCGATGCCAGGCAGCTTGGCCACTCAGCATTATCTACAAACCCAGAATATTTCATTTGGGTCCAGAGGGCCATTTTGGACTTGACATATTATATGTCCACTCTGGTGTCAAGCTAAAGTTGCTAGGGTTTTCTTCTTTATAAGAACTGAAGATATAGTTAGGATAAAATAGGGATAACTATGGTCCAAATCTTGAATAGCATAAATGTCAACAGTATTACTTCATTTTTAAAGTATTTTTCATTAATGCAGTACACGTCATAGAATTATAGGCCAGTATTTCATGGAATTATAAGCCTAATTAGATAGGTATTTCCAACAGAAGTTCAATGGGGTGAGGACTTTAATTGCATCTTCTTTCTTGCTCTGTAGCTGTTGCTATTGTCAAAAGGTAAACGGCAAGAGATCCAAGAAAGGAAAATGAGGCTGATACAAACATTGATACCTGCCCACTACAGCAAACATTCCAGTGGGTTCACAAGTAACCCTGCTACTGAAGTTGGCTTCAAAATCACTCTGAGGACCCAGCAACTTCTATCAACAGCTTTTGTACAAAAGCATAATGGGGCCAGCATAATGCAGCTATGCTGTTCCACTGACTGCAACTGATACTGTATTCTAGTAGAGATTATAAAGTACTGTACTGTGCAAGCACAGATAATGTATACAAAAAGGGGGGGGGAGACACTCTGTCATGTGGCCCACTATACAAAGGCATATCTTATGGAGCAAGTATTTTTGAATAGGTAAGCAACACTAGAAAATGTCTAAATAAATTAAGCAAAGGGGATCTAGTTCAAAGATGATGTCTATGTCCAACTAGAGTGATCTATCTAGGGTTTCTTCCATACCTGGCGTATCACACCAACAGTTTTCCTGTTGGTGCCCTAAACAACCACGTGCCCTAAACAGAAGCAGGAGAAGGGAGACACACAGTAGGTTCACCCTGGCTGCTCCTCTCCTTTGGGGAAACAGAAATTGGGTGTGGAGTAAGACCCCTTCTTTGGGGTGTTGGGCAAAAAGATTTCACTCAGAATCCCCTCACGATGCAGATATGCTGGGGCTTTTATTGGAGCGGAAGGCAGGGTCTGGGAGCCTTCTGAATGTCAGCTTCAATCTACTCTATGAGAATATAACTACTACAACAGTGGTTGCATAGTTCTCTGTGCTTGTGGCTCTTCATTTTGGAACCTTTATGCAGTATTCCCAACTGAAATATTTTTCTTGCATGTGTGTTCTTTTTCCAAAAAGTCTATGTGTGTTTTAGATTCAATTCAATTCAATATTACTATTGCAGACTGCTCTTTCTATGATAATAGGGTTTTTTAATGGGACCAAAAGGTGGTATAAAGATGTCTTTATAAACAGATTTATAAATAAATAGTTGCACCTACTGGTTTACATTCAAACAGGTTCTTCAATATATTGATCTTTGGGGTTAAATCTGATTTTGCTCCTGTAATATTTATAATTATAAAGTATTATGGATGATAGCCAATGTGGTGCACTGCTTAGAGTGTTGGCTGCAACCCAGTCATGATGTTCACTGGGTGACCTCGCGCCAGTCACTGTCTTAGGCTAAAATACCTCACAGGGTTCTTCGGAGGATAACACTGTGAAATGAGAGAAACCATGTATGCCACCTTGACCTCCTTTTTCCTCCAAGGAAAATGGGATGTAAATGTAATAATTAATTAAGGTGGGGAGGGCACAGTCCATGAGTACATGAAGGCATTTCAGCCCCCTTCCCAATTAAGCTCCTTCTGCCTCCCCAAAAGGTGTTCCTGGAAATCAGAGATGCCATAAAGTGGCATTTGATATGACTACAACCAAATGGAAAAATTGCGTCTGTAAAATAACACATTGTAAGTGAGATAATTTAGCATTAAGGTAACTTAATTGAGAATTTGCATATTTGGAAAATTCTTTCCAAGGACCTCTTTTCTTTTTGCTTCCTAAGGTATTTTCCTAAAGGTTCAAGTTCTCTGCATAGTCACTGAAGTCTTCCAGAAACAAGGAAGAATAAGTAGCAACTAAATGTGCTTGCTTACAAACTCCCATACAATTTGGGCATAACATATATAAGGAAATGTTTCTAGTTCCTGTAATTCTCTGCACTCTAAGGCATTACCATCCATGCAACAAGGACTGAGCATATAGGGAAGAACTCTATGTGCCTGTCTGCCCCAGTCCTCTAGGGCAACTTGCTGAAGACCAGACCTAGACACCACCTGGAAACATTTTTTATTTGGAACTAGCAGTTTTGTACCCAGTATTGCACTGGAATTCTACACTCCTGCTATCAGTGCAGTTTAATCAATGGTTAAAGGCAGTAGAGTTTTCAATTGTGCAGTCCATCATTTTGATTCAAAATGGTACCCAACTGTATCCAAGCAGAAACAAAAAGCTGCTCCTTGATCTTGGGAATCATCATGCACAATTTGGTTATGACACCTTAAGGGGTGTTCAAATGCACAGTAAAAGAACAACTTTGCAAAATATGGTAGATATTAATGGGCTTAGATGACTGAATTGATGTATTGCCCCTTTTAATATCAATGGCTTGGATCCAATGATAAGGGAGGAAAGCTTTCCATTCCTTCATCCCCACGGCAACCCTCTGAATAACATCTACAGTGGTGCCTCGCAAGACGAAATTAATCCGTTCCGCGAGTGTCTTCGTCTAGCGGTTTTTTCGTCTTGCGAAGCAACCCTATTAGCGGCTTAGCGGATTAGCTGCTAAAAGGCTATTAAAGGCTTAGCGGCTTAGAAAAAGGGGGGGGAAAGCGAAAAAAAATCTCAAGACTCGCAAGACATTTTCGTCTTGCAAAGCAAGCCCATAGGGAAATTCGTCCTGCGAAGCAACTCAAAAACGGAAAACCCTTTCGTCTAGCGGGTTTTCCGTCTTGCGAGGCATTCGTCTTGCGGGGCACCACTGTACATAGGAATATGTGTGTGTGTGTGTATGTTCTCTTCAAAAATGCAAAATGGCATAGGAGGAAGAGAGTATGGAAACCTTCCATGTATAACTGTAATCCTATATACATTTATTGGAGTAAGACCCTCTGTACTCAACTTACTTCTAAGCAGATAAATATAGGGCTAGATCCAGGCTTGTGTTGAGATGGGGAGAGGCCACAGCTTAGTGGCGGAGTGTGTTATGTTAAATTTCCATTTCCAGGGAGAACTGTAAGAAGATCCCACCTTGTTTGAGACGCTGGAAAGTCATTGCTTGTCAATGAAGACAATGCTGCACTAGACAGACTGATATTCATTTTAAAAAGGGAGGGGTAGCAACACGCCGTGAATATGCTACGGACTGTTTCAGGTCAGTAAAGAAATTTTCAGAAGTATATCCTTTGGCAAGAGAAAGGCAACATTCCTTATATTTCTGCCAGGCACAATAAACTGGATGGCTAGGGGCTGACATACCAGCAAAAATGAAGTAGTTTATTAGTCACCATGTTAAAGGGAGATTCACACATCACTTCTTTAATTATATAGCAGAAGGTGTAATTTTCAAAAAGTTTTTAATTTTTGAAGTTTCTTTATACATTACCACCATTTTAGAAGTGGCATTGCCAAATATAATATTTGGTATGACTCACAAATAGTATGTGAAATTCTTCAGATGTATCTTATCTACCACTGAGAGGAATCCATGCCAGTCGAAACAGAACCAACATTGGAACTGTATCTAGTTACTACAGTGGTACCTCGGGTTAAGTACTTAATTCATTCCGGAGGTCCATTCTTAACCTGAAACTGTTCTTAACCTGAAGCACCACTTTAGCTAATGGGGCCTCGTGCTGCCGCCGCGCCGCCAAAGCACGATTTCTGTTCTCATCCTGAAGCAAAGTTCTTAACCCGAGGTACTATTTCTGGGTTAGCGGAGTCTGTAACCTGAAGTGTATATAATCTGAAGCATATGTAACCCGAGGTACCACTGTATTCTTAAATACAGTCATACCTCAGGTTAAATGTGCTTCAGGTTGAGTGTTTTCAGGTTACGCTCCGCGGCGACCTGGAAGTAATGGAGCGTGTTACTTCTGGGTTTCACTGCTCGCGCATGCGCAGATGCTCAAAATGACGTCACGCACATGCACGGAAGCAGTGAATCGCGACCCGCGCACATACAGATGCGGATTGCGTTCGCTTCAGGATGCGAATGGGGCTCTGGAACGGATCCCGTTTGCATGCAGAGGTACCACTGTACTTAACCTCTTCAGTTGTTCTTAGACTTCCAATATTTGGGTATATACAGGGCAGTCCAGTCTTCAAAATCTGGCTTTAAACCTAATGAAACTCTGAAGGCTGTAAAATAGCAGATGGCATCATCTTTGTAAATAGATCATCAGTAAGTCTGCCGATTCTGAGGAAGGCATTTAGGTACTGCGGCCTGCTTAGTTCAGCTAACCAACCAATGTGGTTAAACAGTAACCAGATGTGCAAGCAGAGAGACGGACAGAAAAGTCAACTTCAGACTCAATCCAAAATTTAAGATAAGATGAACCAAAGAAAGAAAATACTTCCCAACAGTCTAGTGGCTTATGGAGAAGCAGAGCAGTGGTGGCTTTGCATGCTAAAATTTAAGATGCAAATTCACAAAATCTACAGAGTTTCATACAGAGTTTCTAGATATTGCCAGCAAAGAATTCAATTTTGTATTGCCTTATTTTTCCAAGTGTTCATACCTATTATAAGAGGTAATCACATGAAGCAGCCACAGTTATAATACAGTGGTCCCTCAGGTTACAAACATCTCGGGTTACAAACACTTTGGGTTACAAACTTCGCTAATCTGGAAGTAGTACCTTGGGTTGCAAACTTTGCCCCAGTATGAGAATGGAAATTGTGCGGCGGCAGTGTGAGACCCCATTAGCGAAAGCGTGCCTCAGGTTAAGAACAGTTTCAGGTTAAGAACGGACCTCTGGAAGTTCATAACCCAAGGTACCACAATATAAGAATGCCCTCTAGTCTGTTTAAAATTATGGCCTGTATTGTTGTAGTAGTTGTTAACAACCAGTCCCAGAGATCAGAGAAAGCCACCTGACTTATCCAGGGGTAGCCATCATAGTGCTCTCCAGATGTTGTTAGACTAAAACTCCCATCATTCCTTACCGCTGGCAGTGTTGATGGGAGCTATTGTCCAACAATGTCTGAAGGGCCCCATGCTCCCAACCCCGAAGCACTGAATAACCAACAACTGAGCTGTCACTTCTCAGCCTAGAATTTATATTGAAACTGGAGTGTCATGAATTCTAGCAAACACACCTATTAAATCTTCCCCGTGTCTTGCCTTCATATTTAATTTAGTTTTTCCCCCTTCCATCACTTGACTAGGAGAGTCCAAAGCAAACTGGCATTTAGAGCAATGTTGGTGGTTTAGAATAGTAAGTACACTGACCGTAAGACCAGTTTACTTCAGGAAACACCTTTATTTATTGCATGTATATGTACTCCACCTTTCGTCCAGAAAGACATACTTAAGGCTCCCAAGTTCCAATCCAAGCACTGACCTGACCCAGATTTGCCTTTAGTAATGTATACTAAATATGCACTTTTAGAAGTCTAACACTCAATATCATTAAAAGCAAGATTACTTAAAAGCTTTCCTCCCTGTCCCTTCTGTTTGCCTTAGACTTCAAAACTTCTCTGTCATACTAAGGAAAAGCCTCTATACATCTTCCCTCCCAAGTCTATCCTTCCACATTTCCAAAAAAGTTAATGAAAAACATTATAGCAAAAATATTAGGTAACTATGAAAAATGCACTTTCACATATTTCAGTTTTCCATATATTAATGTCTTCCCTCCCTGTTTCTTCCAAACATGTTCACATGTTAAGTTTTATGTCACTCTGTTCTGAGAGTGCTCGTCTCACATATCCCAGAAAGTCAGTTTATGGAGGCACTACACATGTCAGAAGAGAGAAGCTTTTGTTAACATGATAATAGTTATTTTTTTAAAAAAGTAAATACTCACCCCTTGGAGTCCTTGAAATTGGATGGAAGGTCGAGAAGGAACCAGATTCTAAAGAAGAACAAGGAACAATGAGCTCTCAAAGAAAAGAAAAAAATCAAAGCTACTTCAACAATCATCTTAAGTATTTTGTTCATGCTTGTAATTATTGTACAAAGAATCAGTGGTTAATGCACATTAAGTCTGATCTCTGAAATGGCATTAACTAGGGTCAGATGCAATGTCAAACCATGGCTTGGTGTTACAGGAATGAGTTGCAGCAAGGCTTGGGTTTCTGCATTCTGCCCATCCCTGCCTCCCATGCTGTCAAGAGGACTTCTGCAGTACTCACTTTTAGTTTTCTTGAACCCTGACTTCCACTACACTCAAACCCAGTATTATGGTTTATCCCCACCTATGGTCAGTTTGAAATAAAGGCAACTTCAAAACATGGGTCCGCCTTCTAGCTTCATGGAAAGAAGAAGAGGGAGCAAGGCTGAAGCCCACCATGGCTCATTCATGTAGTACTAAACCATGGCTTAGCATTACACCCATAGTATGCGCTCTGAATGAAACAATGTTGTTCCACTTGCAGCAACAAGTGGAACTAATGTAAGTGAAGGGAAAACAGTTCTCAGTCATTCCTTCTGCCCTCCGAAGCCCCCTGCACGACCATCTCCACTGCTCTGAATAGGCTTTCAGGGGTCTGCAGCAGAAAAGCACTTCCTCGCCTTCTCTCTCCTTAGCAGAATAGCCACACTGAACATCACCCATTATCTTTATCTCAGCTGGTCTAACACAAATGTAATTTGATTCAGCTAACTTAGCTGGGAAAGCATTAGATCCCACAAAAATGAAAACAGAATGAATCAGGTAAAGTTCTTCACAAAAAACTAAAAAAAGGCACAACTGTGGGACACATATCCCTTTCCACTAATTCCGGGGGGGGGGGACGGGACCAGACTATGAATAGCATTTAAAGCATTTAATAGTGAATGGTTTGTTACCTTTCAGCAGGCTTATTTAATATATACAAACAAAAAGTCGTCTGCTATTCCCAATTTGTTTTGGTACAAGAAAAACCTACGACTGCGAATGGAACCTTTGGAAATTATCCAAATACAATAAAATTGAATGAATGGCTTTATTGTAAGGATACTGAACATGCTTTGCAGAAAGCGACAAAAACAGTGATACTTTACTAATTGTTAAAGATCTAATTTGATGGTGCCTCATATAAGATGAATTACAGCTTTACTGTTGCAATACTCGGCTTTAGGCCATAAAAAGGCAGAGGAACTGAAGAAAAGAATTTCTACAGCCCAATCCCAAATTGCTCAAAATGGTTCATATAGCTGGATCTTTCTATTTGATGTTTTGTAACAACAACCAAAACCTAACTAGATTTGGTTTTGACAATGTTGCATCAAACTAATTTAGCAGCTTAGGCAATTGTTTTTGCAACACCAATGGGGAAACTCAGGCCCAGGATTGAATGTGGCCCTCTAGACCTTTTTATCTGGTCTTTGCAACTCTCCCCAAGCTACACCCTCTTTTCCTGGGCTACACCCTTTGCCAGCTCTGCTTTAAGCCCTAACTCATTTCAGCCCTTTTGTCTGCTTGATGATAATACCTCCTTGTTGCATGGATGGAGGGATATGCTTGGGGGGGTTGTGTAGAAATATTTGAGGTTGACTAGGAGGAAATGTGGCCTTCAAACTGAAAAGAGCTCCTTAGCTTTAATCTAAAAGCACCTCAGTGGACAAGTCCAAGACACCTCAACAAACACTGCCAACAACTGAAATTAGGTTGTATAATGACAAAACAGTTTAGGTTCTAGTTCTGCAGTTGGTTATGCCATGGAATAGTCATTTTAAAAAGAGCAACTCTTCTGTACATATTTGCATTCCTCAACAAGCACCTCACTATTCATTGCTCTAGTATGGATGCATAAACTATGGTTTATGTGAGATTCAAAATCTTCAAGCGTGTGCACTGCCCTATTATATATGCTGTGGCCATAAGGAGACTGGAAGCTTTCAGGGAAGTTTTCAATTAACTGCATTTTATAATTATGTTTGAGCCTCAAGCTGTGGTTCATCTTTTAACTATATTTTATTGAAACAAGTCAACTTAATAAACCATGGCTTGAAGTTGGCTTATTTCCATAAACCATAGCTTGGCTAACCAGAGTTTGTCCAGATTCAACCAAACACTAAAATGAATTTCTCTAAAAATCAAAATGAAAGCTTTGGCTCCCCTCTCCCTGCTGTACAAGAGACTTGATGAAATAAGATTCTTTTGCATAACACTAATTTGGAGTTTAATGTCACAGTCAAACAAGACCAATATCTGCATCAGTTTCATAGTGACTTGAAGCATTGCAGATTTGTTTCCAGAAATGTATGTGCTTGCTAAGACAGCTGATGCTAAATGCCTTGTGCGTCAAGCAGGTACCTCCTTCCACCTTCATTTTCTTAATCTTCTTCTACGCATGTTTAATTTCAACACAAGCAATACTATAGCTTACTCAGAAATAAGGCTCACTGTGTTCAGTGGAGCATGTTTTGAGGAAAGCACAACAGTACAAAATATACTTTCGTTATAATTCTTAAATTCATGAAGCATATTCAAATATTTGTTAAATATGAAATGACAACTCAAGTATGCTTGTTTAGAGTTTTCAGACTCTATTCCATTCAGATTCACAATATAAACTGTAATTATATTTGATGCTTCAAGGGGTGTGTTACATCACTTGAGTTGATTAGGAACTCAAATAACTCAAATAACTTTTTGATTAAGAAAAATGAAGACATCAGCCTAGGAGTGGAAATGGGAAAACATTTTGCAAACCTTGACCTGTGTGAAATGTCAAACTACCTACATATTAGCAACATATTAAATATTGAAAAACTATACAATAAAAATCAGCCACAGCTTGATTGCTTAATTCTGTTGCCTTAAAACTACTGTATTCTTACTGTGTTACATAGGTAGGCATTAAATGAAAAACAGCTCATTTTCATTAAATGAAAATTGTTCACAATTCCCTTCATTTTCCTGTACTCTGTTGCCTATTTATTTTTAGATTGTAAGCTGCTTTGGGCAGAGGTCTGTCTGTATTACCTTTTGTAAAGCTCTCAGTATATTTTTAGGTGCTCCATAATCAACCTAGAAGAACGATATATATTACAAAGTGCAACACCACCCCCAAACTTGTATTAAAAGGGTCACCTTAAGACTTTTGCATGTAGAGTTTATATACTAATAAGCCAGTTGCCTGAACCCAAAGGATCTACATGACACAATGGTACAATCATTTTGGCGCCAGGTTAAAACTCATTTATTTGCCTGGGCAATTTAAAGTCCAAAGTTTTAAAGTTGATCAGTATCCAGCCTGTTGCTTGCTTTTAAAACTGTCTCCATTGTTTTTATGTTGTTGTTTTATCTTTCATAGTACTGTATTGTTTTAATTTTTTTAATTAACCTTTGTATGCCATCCAGGTATCTCTGTAGATGAAGGGCACCCTAGGAGCATTTATATGAAGTAAATAATCAGCAACAAGCACCAAAGCTTGACATCAACATTATTAAAGTGTTACAATTCTAAAAATGTTATGTGAAGAGAAAAAGGGACTAGCACAGTGATCAGACTTTTAGTAGATTAGAAGAACTATTAACACCTGCCCTGACCCCAAAGTTCCTACTGGTTATTTATGGGCACATAAAAAGCTGGCCTTGACACAAATCAGATTCCTGCAGTATTAGTTGTGAGGCCATCCTTCAAGAGAGTGATCACATTCAGAATAGTGCCAGCTTGTAAGCAGTTATACAAAGTCTGATCACCGATCTGCAGCGGGAGCCAATCTGGTCCTCTGAAGAACTCACTTCATGAACTATTCTGAATTTCCTATTCAAACTAAAGAAATAAAATAAAAAGACAGGCTGCTGGAATGATCTGATTAAAAAGGTACAAGATGTGTTTCTACCATAATAAGATTTTATTGCATATATGACGTTTCAGCTTAGCTAAATGTTTTGACAGTACCTATAAATGATACATACATTACACAGCAAATGCTTTGCACCCACATCATGTTTATGACTATAAGCATTTGAAGATAATATTTCTTAAATCCCTTACACAGTGCGTATGGCTTCTTACAATATTTTAATTAATTTATTTTTCAGGAGGTTATTCATGCATGTTACATATTTTTAAATGCCAGGCAAAAACATTCCTCTTCTCCCAGGCCTTTAGCTAATTAAACAACCTATGGCTTTTTAAATTGTATGTGTGTGCACTTGTTATTGTTTTTGTTATTATGGCAAGTATTGTTTTGTTTTCATATTGTAAAACTGCCCTGTGCTTTTTGGATGAATTCAATGAAAATAATATCTAATTACTGTGATATAGCAAGAATAAAAAGAAATTAACTACAAATTTCCCTGTGTTTTGGACGGCTGGAAGAACTGTTCAAGTTAGAGATGTTTTGCTGTTTAATTAATTAGGGAAATGGGCATAGGGAAAGCTGGTGAAGATTACCAATGCAGGCAAGCTAAAAGCCAAACTGACTTTTGTTCATCAAACTGTCACTTTAATAGCTACTTTATGACTCTGCAGGCAGCTGATCAAATGGTGGACAAGTACTTTTCTCTTCTGTTACAAATTCCCGGTATGTTGCATATTGCAGAACTTACTTTGAACATATTTGCACAGTAATATTTTACCAGACAAGGAAACAGCAACTAGCTTTGTTACTTCAAATTTTATTTATCTCAATTATAGGTAAATAACATCTGTATACACACAATAATTCTGTACGTAAAGTAAACTCCAGGAAATTAAATTATATTTATTCTTATGTAACTGATATTTCACATTCTAAATCACTAAAAAAGTTGCAGCTAGGCTCCTGTTTTTAAGTTAATCACATTTGATTTTACAACAGTAGGGCAATTATCTTTCTCGATGATGCATTTACCTACAAAATGCAGACTAGCTGAACTCAGCACAAATTTTAAATAGTCATGTGTTGTAACATGCAAGAGTGTCACTAAGTTTAGGTTAAATTAGGTATTACGTACATGAGACCCTATTCATAAGAGACTCCAGAAGAATGATTAAAATTAAACTCAAATCTACAGTTTTATATATATTTTACATTTTATAGGAAATTAAGTTGATGTGAAAATTATGTATTTTACAATTACAACTTCAGAAACAGTTTATTCTGTGCCACAAAAGTAATATGTCTTACATTATGGAGACCTATAGCATTACGGAATTTTAAAAGCTAGCAATTTCAGCCTCAACAAAGCCTTTGGTTTCTTTAAACTCTACAAAATAGGCAAAAATTATTCAATATGACTACTTTTTATGTTCTAAATATTGACCGAAGTTAGTTTCAAGACAGGAGAAGAATGATATTTAAAACTGAACATAAAATTGGTATACTATGCAACTCAATTTTTTATATTAAAGAACTGCTATAACTCAATCTCACTTTAATTAGGTTAAGTCTGAACAACAAAAAATCCTCTGAAGATATTTACTCTAAAACTTTCTTTATAAGCAGTTTGGTTCACAAGTTAATGAGTTTATTTTTTAAAAAACACAGAGTATGAAAAATAATTATACCTCCAACCACACGCTGCTTACTCCAAAATTCTAACTTTTCTTAATTATTAAAAGATATGGGGGGGAACACAAGCAACTTTCTACATTTAAAGAAGAAATCAATAGTGTTTAAAACTATCACATTCCAGAATATGAGCCTTTGAGCAGCCTTGACATAGCAATAAGAGTTTGCAGTTCTTCAAGAAACATATGCAGTGGAAAGCTGCAATTTGAAGTTGATTTCGAAGGATCATTTGGCAGAAGTAATGATTTCCACTCAGGTTTAACAAGGGAAACAGCTGATGTACTGCATAATTGTGCAGTACAAAACCCAGAGTGGCTATAATACACTGTTCAATGGCTAAGGGGCAGAGAGAATGATGGCCCAGACACGCTAGAATAGAAGGGGCAAACTCGGTGAAGGAAGCTTACTCGCTTACTCTATTTTAGATTCACCTACTTATTATGAAAAACAACCATTAGTCATAAGAAAAGGCACAATTTGGAGGTCAATTCTGGGAAAACCATGTCTGAGTCATCTTTTTACATGAAGAACTACATAAGGAAAGCAGCACTGAGACTCTGAGAAGAGAGACTGTTGTCTGTCAAGAACCTGTTATTTAAATTCTGTCTGGTTTTAGTATGTTCCTGGCTTATCTTTTAAGAATTGCTCCTAGAACTGTTTCAAAGGAAATCTTTTGGAAGAAAGCCTGCTGGCACTACAAAAGACATAGAATTTATTTTTTTTAAAGAAAAGAAAAGAAAAAAGAAGAGTCGATCAGCACCTTTTCTTGGGATTCATTGTACTCAAAGTAACAATCCTCCAAGATTTCTCAGAACAGTAAGGGAGAGGGGAGAGAGTAACAAATGGGCCTTAGGGGAAAAAATGAGACAAGCAACATTTAATTTGAAATTCCATGTTAAAACACCAGCTAATTAGAGCTTAATCCTCCTTGCTGGGACATATAGCCACTTTTAATGTGCCCTGAACAAACACAAGCGGAGGCTCAAGTTTCCAATGGAAAGCTACAGTAAGGAAAAACTAAAGAAGACTATCAATTCTCCTGTCCCCTACTTTTGCAAGAGAAGCCTGACAGGGAGAGATCTATCATATGTTCTTTTTAACTGACCCATTCCCCTGAGTCTAAAATGCCCTTCCCCTATGCTGTTTTTTTTGGGGGGGGTGTAGGGTGTTAAACCCCCAAACAAAGACAACATTGCATGAATCCAACATATCCCCAGAATATAAATGAAAAGGGGAACACAATCCAGATATAAACCGATTTAAAATATTTCTACATTATCCCCAATGTGCTGAACAATTTATACAGCTGCTGTTACCACTGGAATGTGCTGTGGAACTTGTCCCCATCAGGATTTCTCACAAGGCAGCTGTTACGGATGGGGGTGGGAGAGGGACAAGGTATTGGTGGTGGGGGACACAGGAAGACAGTGAGAAACAGTTTTCCTGACAGCATGATAAAGATGTACAATAAAACTGTCATAGTTGCCATTGTCCCTTTAAAAAAACAACCAGGGCCACTTCACATTTTCGGGGTGGGCAGGCTGAGAAGCTGGGCCTAGGGAAAAGCTCAGCCCATCCCTCTCTCCCTGCCCCGGGGAGGGAGAGCGAGCGAGATCAGCAGGCAGAAGAACTAAGCCCATAAATAAATGACAGCTCAGCAGAATCGGCCTCATCTGGGAACGGCTGGCTCCGGTCACGGCCAGCTCCAGAGGCACTAGCTGGCACCGACACCGAGAAAAATGACTTTCTTGTGTAAATGCCATTTTCAAAGGATCGCCCTCTGCCACGGCCAACCTCCTCCTCCTCCTCCCTTCTGTGTGAGGTACATACATACAGGGCAGCTGGGGGCATTTGTTGCCCCGCAAAACTTTTTTTTCCCTTCCCTTACGCGGAAGGAAAAGAAAAAAGAGAGGGGGATCAAAAGTTGGTGAGAAGGAAGAATGTGGAATTAGTATTCTTATTCCCACCCCCCATGCCTATAAATAGGCACGAACCATATGGAGAGACGGTCCCATGGAAAGGGGGGGGGGGAGAAGAGGAGACTTTTCTAAGGGATCCTCAGCCGGACCCAGAGCAGAGTGTGGGGCGAGATTTCACGCCCTGGGATGAGTGGGGTGCGTGGAATTCCTCGAGGAAGCAGCCCCTCCACGCCCCTTGCGCCGGCTGCGTGTCCCTCTTCCCTTCCCGGGCGTCCCAGCCCGGGCGAGTGAGGACGACCGTCGACCCCGGGGCGCCCCTCACCTTGCTCCCCTGGTAGCTCTCCAGCGCTCGGAAGGCGGTCTCGGTCAGCTTGACATGTAGCACCGTGATGTTGTCCTGGGTGACTCTGCCGCAGGACACGCCATACCTGCCCCCTTCCTGCAGCGCCGCCATCTTACCAAGCCGCCGCCAACGCCGCCGCCGCCGCCACCTCCCGCCCCACAGCCACCACTGCCACCGCTGGGGCCGCCAAGCCGCCACCGGAGCCTGCTACTGTTGCTGCTGCTGGGTCAACAGCTACAGCCATCCTGCCGCTGACGTACCAGCCAAGCCCGCCAGCGCGCAGACGCCGCCAGCGCCGCGCCGCCGCCGCCGCCGCGGCACCCCGCCCACTCAGCGCAACGGCCGCCCTTCCCTCTCCTCCTCCTCCCTCTCCGCACACCTTAGCCACGCCCCCTTTCTTCCCCCCACGCGACAGGCCCGCTGCCAGGCCGCGACACGCACGCCACGCCCCCCTCCCCGCGCGAAGACGCCTCGCGCCGCCGGCCTCGCTGATTGGCCGAAGCTTCCCCAGCCGGGATCCGCGCGAAAGAGGCTTACCCGAGGTCAGCCGGAGAGGAGGAGGGCGGGGCAGCACGCTGACGTCAGCGCAGGCGGCGTTCAAGCGCGTTTATATCATTATTGACGCTTAGGGTTGAGTCACCTGTAGGACCATTATGTACCCTGGGCTGTCAGCGGCCGTGCTCTGTGCCGCCTGTTTACCCACATCAGTGTTTGCTCTCTTCCAGGATGCTATTTCTCCCCACATCTGGATCCACGAGGCTGCATATCTCTCTCTCTGTGTGGCTTGTGCTCTTATATTGCAGGGTTAGGGAGCCTGGGGTTCTCCAGATGTTGAGGCTTTCAACCTCCCTTGTCCCAGACCATTGGCCATGCGTGCTGGCTGGGGCTGATAGGATTTGGAGTCCAACGACCTGCCTCACAGGGTTGTTGTTAGGATAAAGGGGGGGGTACCACATTGAGCTCCTTTCAGGAAAGATGGGGATAAAAATCAAATAAGCCTCTGGAGGCGAGCCTTCTCCAAGCTGGTGACCTCCAGCTGTTTTGAACTACTAAATCTAAGCTATGCTGGTTGGGATTGATGGGTGCTGGAATTTGAAACAACTGGAGAGCACTGGGTGAGGGAAAGCTGGTTTGGAGGATCAGAGGATTCCCATCCTCACTGCTTAGCCAAGTGACTTGCTAGGTGGCACAGAATTTAGTTTTAGGTGGGTGAAATCAGGAGTTTCCTTATGCCTGATTTGTTCTTCGTTGAAAGTCTAAATATCAGTGAAGGAAATGTGTGGTGGGGGCAGCTAGAATGAATGTACTTCCTTTGCCCATTACCAGTCAGTCTCGACAAGATGCTGGCCAAATGTCTGAAGCAGAGAGTCTCTTATATTTGATTGTATATATTTAAAGTACATTTAAAGACTTCATGGCCTTCATGACAACCATGGGGCTATCTCAGATGGGCATTCAACACATCGGGCAGGGCAAACCCTTGATGCTTGATGCCATCCCTCCAAATGTAGCTCTCAAAGTTATCTGGAATAATAAATATATTATTGAGTGATTTATATGGTTCATTTTTTAATTGTGCAAAACACTTCATAATTCTTATATTACGTATCATTTACTGTTTCCATGCTGTTCCATATACTGTACAGATAAAAATCTCCACTGTATCCGTAAGCAGGCATTGAAAGAGGCTTAGAGTTAATCATTTAGTGACATTTTAACTATTCAGTTTAGCTCCCTTCATGCACTCATCTCAGGGAGTTTGGAAGACATCCCTCCCTTCCATGAGTTCAAGGGATATGTGAGAGGTGCCCATGCCTGGCTAGCTCCTTGCTTTCCTAGCATTGCACTTCGTGCATTGGGGATGTGGCAATCACACCTAAAGCCCTTTCTCTGGTATCAAACCTGTGACTGAGGGCTTAATCCCCCTTGTGTGAAAGGGGCAGTGTGGCTGGCTGTGAAAGTGTGCAATTCCCTGGCTGCTCTCCTTGACATCCATGCACTAAGTGCAAACCTCTACAGGTCCAGGAGCAGAGTTTCACCACTCATGGTCTATGCTTGTAGCTTTCCTCTTCTCAAGGGGACATTCATGGTTCTCCCCTCCCCATTTTTTAATCTTCTCAACAATTCTGTGAGGTAGGTTATAGACTGAGAGATGATTGGCCCAAGGTCACCCAGCAAACTTTATGGCCGAGTGGGGATTTAAACCCTGGTCTCTCAGGTCCTCCTCTGAAGCTGAAGCCATATACTACTGTGACTCTATTCAGATCCGGGATAAAGGCAGAAAGAGTGTTATGAATGTAATCCCAATGGGGGTTACAAATTTAATCCCAAATGTTTATTATGTCATGTAGTCTTCTTACATTTGCCATATAAAGGCATAGATGATAGCTAAGAAAAAAAGCGGGTGGAACATATTTTTGGAGACATCAGTGTGCTTATCCCAAAACTGGAAATATCTCGAGAAATCAGGACTGTGTGTAATGTTAGAATCCTAGAATTGAAGAGTTGGAAGGGACCCTGAGAATCATCTAGTCCAACACTTTGCAATGCAGGAATATGCAGTTGTCCCATGTGGGGATTGAACCTGCAACATTGGCATTATCAGCACCATGTTTTGTTGTCCTTGTTTTGAAATTCTGCATGTTTTTGTTTGTTTGTTTGTTTGACAACTAACGTGCCAGCTAATATTTATGTTCTGGTGTTAAAGGAAGATGGCAGATTACTACTAGCAATAGCTGGGTTTGGGGAATCAGCTACTGTTTTAATACAAATTCAGTACATTCCAGCATTTGATACACATACTGAGAAAGGGAGGATGTGTGATTTGGTGGCGGGTTGCAACAGATGGTTGCATAATCCTGTTTGTCTCCATTCTTCCAGGGTCAGGTACTATTTCTCCTTGCCAGGGTTTTTGTTTTCTTTTTAATATGAAGTCTTAAACAGTTGGATGAACTATTTTGCACTATTTTCTTCCCAGGATAAAAGGCTGCCTCTCTCTCTGTGACGATAATGGCATATGGCACAGACAATGGTTAAAACAAAGGAAGAATCACAGAGAATTGTTCATGCTGAAGTTGGTAGCCTTCAGAGCTGCATGTACTCAGTTTCCAAAAGCCTGCGCCAGGTTATTCACATTCCACTACAGGAAAAATAAACACATTTGAATGGTTTCTGTGATGCTAGTGTTTTAATGTAAGATTATTCTGCTTGTGAGGGAATAGTCCAGGAGCAGTGGAGGACACTGGAGCCTTGTTCTCTGGCTTCCAAAGGCTAAACTACAGGTAACATTGCTGTTTGCTATTAGTATCTAATCAGGATTGGGACATCTGTGAAACACAGAGAAGGCTGCTACTGCTGTTTTTAAGCCCTCTCCTCCTGTCTGAGGCACCCCTGAAACTGCTATTTAACAAAGAATGCTGCGGCACGATTGCTGACAGGAGAGGTCTTGTCACCATATAACACCTGTGCTCAGAGAGCAAGAAGAATCCTGAGAACTAGTTTGTTAAGGGCAGTGCTTTTTTCTGGGGGTACACAGGGGTACACATACCCCTAAACATTTTGTGAATCTAACGGGAGAAGAAACTTTTTTTAAAAAAAATAGTTTCTTCTCTAGCACGGTGAATTGTCAGTTCTGTTGCCACCCCAATGGTGGCCTCATTTCCTGTCACGGTGTTTCCTGAGTCTTGGAAGAGAAGTGAGTGTTTAATGTGTGAAGTAGGAGTTGGAATCTAGCATGGTGATTGGTCAGTATCGTTGTTATCACCTCCGATGGTGGCTTCCTTTCCTTTCCCCATGTAATGCATGTCCTTTGTACTTTTGTCCATTTACTGTATTTATTTCCCCCAATTTGAGCTATAAAATGGTGATTTTATTGAGTCAAAATGAGAGTAATTTTTTTTTAAAGGACTGGTTAAGGGTGTTTGGAATGGTGGCTCTGTGAGGGCTAAACTACAGTTCCCAGGATTCTTTGAGTGGTGCTGGGAATGTATTTTAATTGTATGGTCTCTGTACGCAGCCTCTGAGGTAACTGAAAGAAAAATGGATCCAGTTCACAGCCTGACCAGCATGCCGATTTTCCAGGAAGGAAGTTCTGCTGTGTTCAAGTACCGTAAATGTGCATAGGGCTGCAGTCTTAGGTGTACACAGTGATACTAGCACCACCACCACAACACTTCCTAGAATTGAAATAGGATGAAAGCAGCCTTGCATCCAATTATGCTCACTTAAGTCCCATTCAGATTGATAGAACAACTTCAATCAGTGGGACTGAATCATGCATAGTTGCATGCTGGATTACAGCCATTGTGATTTATTCCTCCTGACAACATCTCCTTAATTCTCCTAAGTACTGAAGTGAGCACCGTTTTTTAAAACTTGCACTGACTTTGAAAGAGTAAAAGCTTAATGAACAGGCAGAAGTGTCCATTGCGCTGCATCCCTGTTTATACCATGTGTGTTTCTTGCTAGACCGCTTGATTTTATTTATTTTTTACTGAAAACAGGCTGCAGTTGCTGTGGTCCATTTGTCCCATGGCTGCAAATCAGGATGACTTTGTTCAGAACAGGACAAAAGGCTTAGAATCCTGCTTTGGAAACATGTTTTGTCTGTAGAAAGGGATTTCCTAAAGTACTTTAGCATCTGATTTGGAGAGTTCCCATCTGGAGGGGAGCATTGTTAAAGTCACACTGGTGCCAGAAAGTGCAATGATAAGGGCTACAAAAGAGATCAATTGAACCTTCAAAAGTCAGACAATGAATACAAAGAACTTTTACAATGGAGACCATTTGATAGGAGTCTTCTCTCACCAAGGTCACTGGCAAAGTGTCCATACACACAGGTTTTAGGCTTAGATTTGAGAGGTTAATCGTATTTTCAACATGTGAAACACCTGCTGCACAAAATGCAATGCAGTGTTGCTGTTGTTTTGTTTATTTTCGTTGTGCAACATTCTTGTAGAGGGTTCACACCAAAGGTGAAAAGAGTTTCCATGGAGCAGCCCTCACAAGCTATTCCAGGGAATAAAATGATAAATGCATGTTAGACTACTGCTGGAACTCATTTGCATCTCACTCTGTTGACCCTCTAGATTGTAAGGTAGACTGCCATCACCCTGGGGAAGCTCATGCCCTAAGGTTGGGGAAAAGCTTGGTCTATTTCCTGTACTACATACTGGTCTTCATGGAAATATGAACATGTAGTAAGGTGGGCCAACTTGGACAGTTGGGTGTAACAATTCACCTATCAATCACCTGCCATCATTAGGATGTCTAATGGTTGGGCAGCCAATCCAGTTGTGTCTCTCCCTGTTCACATATGATGTAAAGTGTAGGGCAGTTGGGTGGTTTGGGAAAATTGCCTCCCGGGCCAAATTTGGATCAGTGGTTCCCGTCCTTAGGTACACCAGAAACCAACAGACGTTTCAGCTGGATCTTCACTTTGTCTTCCTTTGCTAGATCCTTAGAACCGACCTTATCAGACAAAATATCACTTTTTGAGGTGCAACCTAGAACAAACTTTGGCTTGTTGTTGGTGAGGACAAAGCTTAAGCACAAGCCCAGGTTTGGATGATGTGCTCAGCCATAGCTTAGCCGGGGCGGACTTGGGTCTTTCAAATTGCATCAGCACCCTGTTCAAGGCCAAAATTTGGTGCGCTGTCCTGCCTCTGGCCTTCCATTCTGTTCAGTTCACTATGCCATAGTTGCAGTGCTCTGCAGTGCCTCTTAGACTCAGTGCCCAGTGTGGGGAAGCCAGTCATGCTGCTCTTAAATTTGCCTCTGAGCTTGACTTAGCTGTCAGGGCTTGAGGAAGGCGTAGGCCAGCAATCAAAAACAATAAATCACCCAGGGCCAGTGAAGTTAAATCTTCATCCAAAAAGATTATCCAAAAATAAACCACAGATCAGGCCGTAGTCTCAGCAACTCTTTCTTGGAAGTCTTGCCTCATTGACATAGTTGCAAGGACTAAAGGGCCCCGCCTTCCTACCTCTCTCTAAGGCTCCTCCTCTCCAGGGTTTTCCCCACACAGTCTCAAACTGTGTCTGCACACCTCTGACCTCTGTTCTGCTCTCCTCATTATTCTGTGCCTTCTTGGGGAGCTTGTTACTGCAAGAGGCGGAGAATCTTGACCCCCCTTCCTCTCCAGCCTCTGCTTCTGCCTCAGAGTCTGAACTGCATTCAGCCACAGACTCTTCCTGCTCACTAAACCCTGTTGCCCCTCCATCTTCCAACACACACCCCTTCTCCTTCTGACCACTCATCATCGTCCCTCCACCAATCCCCTGGCTCTGAGTCTTCTTCCCCTGAGGGTTCCTCTGCTGGTGTCTCCCACCACTCTTCTGTATCCAGCCAGTTCATGACATTAGCTCATCATGGTGTGGTGGCAAAAAGGGCTTGGGAGCAGCAAAGCAGATGCAAGCTCTTTTCTAAGGGTCCACAGGTATGTTGTCCAGCCAAGGCTTGGTTTAGCATGCCATGAGAACCAGGCTAGAATTGTAGCCTTTTAAAAAAAACTTGTACATTCCTTAGCCCTCTGGATGAAAAATGTGAATTTGTTTTTTTCGGTACAATGTGTCCCCACCAGAAAATCATTAAACAAATTAGAGGGGAACGAATTTGTTTAAAACTATAATTGCTTAAGTCTGGTGGACTGCATGTAGGTAATTTAGCATGTAGCAACAGGTTCAGTTTACTATTCCATTTTAAAATATATAATTGTGCCCAGTGTTTAGATATTGTTCCTTAAATAGGAGCCCTGCTGTTCCGGTTTTGTATTTGAAGGTCTCTGTTGTTGTTGAAGCAATAGAATTTTTATTTCTTTTGCTGGAAGAAGTTGTAGCCACCACTTAAGCCTTCATTAGGTCTGTCAAAACACTATAACTGCTGTGTTTTCTAGGAAGACGAAGTTTTGCCATTATTTATAGAACCGAAGCTTGTAAATGGGGCATTTCTTATCTTTCATAAACACTATGAACACAGTAGCCAGCAAAATGGAGTACTTGAAAATAAAATGTAGACCTTTTATGTGAATATTTTATTACACCGGAGTGAAGTTTAGGCTGCAATCTTGTGCACACTTGGGAGTGAGCCATACTCGGGTTACAGACGCTTCAGGTTACAGACGCTTCAGGTTACAGACTCCGCTAACCCAGAAATAGTACCTCAGGTTAAGAACTTTGCTTCAGGATGAGAACAGAAATCGTACTCTGGCAGTGCGGCAGCAGCGGGAGTCCACATTAGCTAAAGTGGTACCTCAGGTTAAGAACAGTTTCAGGTTAAGAACGGACCTCCAGAACGAATTACGTTCTTAACCCGAGGTACCACTGTATAGGATTGTGCTGTTAGGCCACAGTTTTTAAATGCACTTTCTAAGACCACTGAATGCAGTGGGACTAACTTCTAAATCCCACCTTTCCATGTCTCACAAATTGGCCTTTTAACCATCAGGCCCTCTTCACAGGGAACTCTGAGAATTATAGCTCTGTGAAGGGAATAGGAGTTGCCTAACAAGTCTCACCACACTTAACAAACTACAGTTCCCAGGATTCTTTGGGGGGAAGCCATGACAGTGGTATAATACCTACTTAAAATGTAAGTTGCAAGTGTGGCATTAATTTTTTTAATGTTGCTTATAGATTAGCTGTGTGCACTGCAAACTATTGTGTTGATAAAACACAAACCATCTAACACCCAGAATCTAGCATTTCACTATCCCAGAGACAATCTATACATATACATTGTGTATACATCTAAATGTGCATATGTAGACTTTATGCACCTTTAAGTCATGACTTTGCACCTAGGTTCTGCCCTCATCTGATTCCAAGGTGATTTTGTAATTAATTAACTATTTGTAGGGTTGCTATATTTCAAAAAGGAAAAACCAGGGCACCCCAAAAGTTGTTGAGCTTTATGTTACAAAAACGCCAAAAACCCCACAATTTTTCAATTGACTTGCCTAAGATCCTGGACGAAGCACCACCTTTTGGAAATTCCCCTCAGACATCAATTCCGCCTTTGAAATCTTGGAAATGTCCCGGAAAATTTGGATGTATGGCAGCCCTACTATTTGCACAATGTTTGTGTACTCAAAATGCTTAAAGTATGTTATCCAAAAATACCCCCTTTGACTTGAGGAATACCACTTTTCAAGATTTAATGCTGGATCTAATCG